TTTTCACCTCACTTACTTTTATTAGGCTAGATTTTATGCTATCCATCATATACAGGGCCACCCCTCCCCTTTCTTGCCTTCCCTGTTTTTTTATATATAAAGAGTACCCTGGTATTACTATGTCCCAGCCATTTTTCTCATTATACCATGTCTCAGTAACAGCGACTAAATCTACATTATCAGTTGCCATTATTGCCACAAGTTCATGGATCTTATTCTCTAAACTGTAAGCATTTGTAGACACGATTCCAAGCTTATCATTTTTAACATACAGGCACCTTCTGTCCTTGTTTTGGGAGGCAATTGGATTGATGTTTTATCACCCTCTCCCCCCTCCCCTACCCCCCAGTTTAAATACATCCTAGCAAAACCTCTGACTGCTCACTGAGAACATTTGTTCCCTTTTGAGAAAGATGCAAACCATCTTTTTTGTACAGTTTTTTTCCATTCCAAACAGAGCTAACATGAGAAATGAAGCCCAATCCTTGCTCCCGACACCATTCACCAAGCCACAAGTTAAAGTCCCTAATACGCATCCGGCTGTCGTTCTGAGTGTAATGCACAGGCAGAACTTCAAAGAATGACAGTGTGGAAGCAACCTGCCGTATATCATTGGCAAAAACACAAAAAACTTCCTTTACCTCTGAAACCTCATTGCAAGCCAAGTAATTTGTCCCTAGATGGACAAGTACATCCAATTCCCCTTCCTGCTTTGCTCACTTAACAATATTACAAAGTGGGAACTCTGACTCCCATGAACTTGAGCCACCACTGTACCCCAGGGAAAGTCACCCTCCTGCACCTAAAAGGTAGGAAATAGGAGAGTGACTCAAATATTTTGTGTGTGTGTGTGTTTGTGTCTGTGTGTGTCTGTCTGTCTGTATGCATGTATGTTCATATGTATGTGTGTCTTATGTATGTTTCTTTGTATGTATGTGTGTCTGTCTGTCTGTATGTGTCTGTCTGTGTGTGTGTCTGTATGTATGTGTGCCTGTCTGTATGTGTGTCTGTGTGTGTGTGTGTCTGTATGTATGTATGTATGTATGTGTGCCTGTGTGTTTGTATGTATGTGTCTTAGTATGTATGTGTGTCTTGAGTGTGTGTCTGTATGTATGTGTCTGTCTGTATGTGTGTATGTGTGCCTGTCTGTGTGTCTGTATGGATGGATGTGTGCCTGTCTGTTTGTATGTATGTGTCTTTGTATGTGTATGTGTGCCTGTCTGTGCCTGTGTGTGTGTCGGTCTGTATGTATGTGTCTGTGTGTGTCGGTCTGTATGTATGTATGTGTCTGTGTGTATGTGTGCCTGTCTGTTTGTATGCGTTTCTGTATATGTGTATCTGTCTGTATGTGTCTATGTGTGTGTATGTATGTATGTATGTATGTATGTGTGTGTCTGTCGGGGGGGGCGTGGGAGGGAGGGGGTGAGCCCACAGATTAGTTTCGCACTGGGGCCCCATGGATTGTGTGTACGCCACTGTACTGATCAGTATTGTTTCAGATCTCAAAAAGAGAGCAAAACTCTTGAAAGCTTGTCTTTAGAGTACTATGGTAGTTCAATAAAAAGGGCATCATTACATAATACATTTTGTATATATATATACAGTTGTCCTCAAAAGTTTGCACACCCTTGGAAAATTTGTGATATATGTACCATTTTTAATGAAAACATGAGTGAGCAGGCAAAACACATTTCTTGTATTTCTTATGGGATTCATATATAACTGTAGGTTATAACAGAATAGCACAATCATAAAACAAGATATTGCAACAAAGAAAACAATGAAATGACCACTGTTCAAAAGTCTGCATACCCTTAATTCTTAATACTGTGTATTCCCCCTTTAGCATCAATGACAGCGTGCAGCCTTTTGTAATAGTTGTCTATGAGGCCCCTAATTCTTGCAGGTGGTATAGCTGCCCATTCGCAAAATGCCTCCAGGTCATGCAAAGTCTTTGGTCGTCTTGCATGAACTGCACGTTTGAGATCTCCCCAGAGTGGCTCAATGATATTAAGGTCAGGAGACAGTGATGTCCACTCCAGAACATTCACCTTCTTCTGCTGTAACCACTGGAGGGTCAACTTGGCCTTGTGTTTAGGGTGATTGTCATGCTTGAATGTCCAAGAGCGTCCCATGCGCAGCCTTTCTTCAGAAAATAAAAATTGTCTGCCAGTATTTTATGATAACATGCTGCATTCATCTCGCCATTAATTTTCACAAGAATCCCTTTGCTTTTAGAGCTCACTCACCCAAAAAACATCAGTGAGCCACCACCATATTTCACAGTGAGGATGGTATTCTTTTCACTATAGGCATTGTTGACCCTTCTCCAAACATAGCGCTTGTGGTTGTGACCATAAAGCTCTATTTTGGTCTCGTCCAATTCCAGTGTGCCAGAAGCTGTAAGGGGGAAAAAAGGTGTTGTCAGGCATATTGTAACCGGGCTTTTTTGTGGCATTAGCGCAGTAAAGGCTTCTTTCTGGCAACTCGACCATGCAGCTCATTTTTGTTCAAGTATCGTCATATTGTGCTCCTTGAAACAACCACACCGTCTTTTTCCAGAGCAGTCTGTATTTCTCCTTGCTTACCTGTGGGTTACCCATGGCTCAGTATCTAGCTTGCGCAGTGCATCCACGTGAGAGCTAACAAACGCATTGACTGTTTATACACAGACACGAATTGCATAGGATCAGAGACAACATGGGTTTACTTCAGGGAGATCATGCCAAACTAATCTTATTGCTTTTTTTGATTGGGTTACTAAAATAATAGATTAGGGTGGTGCAGTAGACATTGCTTACCTAGATTTCAGTAAGGCTTTTGACATTGTTGCACATAGAAGGCTTATCAATAAATTGCAATCTTTAAGTATGGATTCCAATATTGTTGAATGGGTAGGGCAGTGGCTGAGTGACAGGCAACAGAAGGTTGTAGTCAATGGAGTATATTCGAAGTTTGGGCTTTATCACCAGTGGGGTACCTCAGGGAGCTGTACTTGGACCCATTCTCCTTAATATTTTTATTAGTGATATTGCAGAAGGTCTTTATGGTAAGGTATGTCTTTTTGCTGATGATACTAAGATATGTAACAGAGTTGATGTTCAATAAGGGATAAGCCAAATGGCAAATGATTTAGGTAAACTAGAAAAATGGTCAGAGTTGTGGCAACTGACATTTAATGTGGATAAGTGCAAGATAATGCATCTTGGATGTAAAAACCCAAGGGCAGAGTACAGAATATTTGACAGAGTCCTAACCTCAACATCTGAGGAAAGGGATTTAAAGGTGATTATTTCTGATGACTTAAAGGTAGGCAGACAATGTAATAGAGCAGCAGGAAATGCTAGCAGAATGCTTGGTTGTATAGGGAGAGGTATTAGCAGTAGAAATAGGGAAGTGCTCATGCCATTGTACAGAACACTGGTGAGACCTCACTTGGAGTGTTGTACGCAGTACTGGAGACCGTATCTTCAGAAGGATATTGATACCTTAGAGAGGGGTCAGAGAAGGGCTACTAAACTGGTTCATGGATTGCGGGATAAAACTTACCAGGAAAGGTTAAAGGATCTTAACATGTATAGCTTGGAGGAAAGACTAGACAGGAGGGATATGATAGAAACATTTAAATACATAAAGGGAATCAACACAGTAAAGGAGGAGACCATATTTAAAAGGAGAAAAACTACCACAACAAGAGGACATAGTCTTAAATTAGAGGGGCAAAGGTTTAAAAATAATATCAGCAAGTATTACTTTATTGGTAAGGGTAGTGGATACATGGAATAGCCTTCTAGCTGAAGTGGTAGAGGTTAACACAGTAAAGGAGTTTAAGCATGCGTGAGATAGGCATAATATAAGGCTGGGTACTAATGAAAGTATTTAGAAAATTGGACAGACTAGATGGTCCGAATGGTTCTTATTTGCCGTCACAGTCTATGTTTCTATGTTTCTTTTATAACTGTCTAGCCGGCACTGCTAGCACTGGCTAGGGAGTATAGGAAATGTGTGATATGATGTAACCCCGTTCAGACGCAGGTATGCTAGCCACATAGCCAGCATGTTGGCGTCATGGAAAAGCTTTGCCCTGCTTGGGGAAGTGTCCCCATTCAGGGCAAGTCAACGAAGAGCAGAAGAAGAGTGCTGGTGGTCCAAAGGTGGATGTTACAGAAGTAACCTTTTGTACCTACCTCTTTAATGAGATTGCAGCAGAGGAGCAGAGGGCCAGGTAAGTGGTGACAGTTTCCATTTAATTTTATTACAAAAATTGGTTGGAAAGTTGAAGTCTATTGGATAGAGTAATTAATTAGTAGCACAATATTAACACAAATATACATTCCACCAAATTGTAAGGAGGTTCAGGACTCAGGTAAGAAGTCAAACCATTACAAAACAGTTTGCCCCATTATCGGGGAATGGCGCAAGGGTACTTCTAGTATCAGAAACATTACAGAGAGCTGTAGGGGTTAATATGATTGGAATAACCCTATAATCAGAAACGTGTGGGGCCCTCATGTTATATTAGGCAGCAAACATGTTTGCTGCTTAATGTAACCTGTGGGACCCACACCTGTTCACACTGTATAGCCTATTATAATATGGGACGCCATGTGGGCAACGTATTAGTTATGACTTCATTTTTTGGGGCACAGAGAGAGTGGACATTATTTGATCTCCTGCAAAGGCCAATGTGAAGTTGTAACCCACTTCTGGCTTTGTCACATGACAGATAACCAATGACATTTAATGCACACCCCTGATCAAAATGTCCTGCTTTGACCCAGTGCAATATGAAGCAAATACTTTTTTAATGGTCAAATGCTAAGTTATGGAGGGATTGCATAGTGAAAAGAAAATTAAAATAATAGAAAGATAAACACAAGGGCAATACATGGTCAGTAAAATAAAAAATAAAAGCCCAAAGGAACTCTTCCGCATCTTCTACATATCAATAATATAAGTAAAGAAAAACAATAAACTGTCAAGAAAGATACTTCAATTCACTGTAGATATAGTATTTCTTTATTTAACTTGTGGGAGATTGAATTTATTCTTTTCAACCAAGAAGAAATATTGATCTTATTCATTAAACTATTACAAGTGTGCATCTGTGTATAAATCTCACTTAACAATACACCTGAGTCTTCAGTGTTGCCATTGAGTGCTGTTTATAGTGGTCACGCTTAATAAACGAAATGTATAACCCTACTCATCTGAATTTATGGACTGCACAGCATGGGAGGATGTTGATTGAAATGCTTTGAAACTTTACTTAGTTATAAGTCTAGAGGACATAAGCTCTGCAGTGGGTAAAGAGGAAATGGGTTAAATATTTCAATCCTGACATGTTTGGACCAGGGCCTATACATTCCATCTATTGTCACATTACATCATCACGTGAGGCTTACTCATGCCTTTATTGGCTTCGCGAGATGTTGGGAGACATAGTTTGACAATTACTCATGATTCTTTGTATCTTAAACACATTTTATAAATCAATGTTAAATTCTGATAACTTTCCACCCAATTCCAGTTAGTTATACAGAGAAGCATTTTGAGTTACAAGCTGCACTTTGCGTAATTTGAAATTCTTCATGAATGAACGAATTTTGTGAATAAGTTAAGCTACAATGTTATCTCAATAATTAGATTTATATTGTACTTCAGTTTACTGATTAGTTCCTAACATGTTCCTCGGAAGGCTGAGTAGCTATTGTAAGCTGGGAAAAAATATACTGTGTACAATCAAATCACAAGGTACCAAAGAACAAGATGATTTGTGTGGAATTGTTTCATAGTGTTCTGCCAGCCAATACAGTTTGGAACAAAAGTCACATTATACAAACACTTTGCGTTCTTGAGCTATTTTCAGGCACTGAAGGGCTAATAGAAAAAGTGACATCAGTTTTTATAACATATATATTTTTCTGTCTATCAATTTGCCACAAAATCACACCATACTCCACATAAATCTTATAAAGTGCAGGAAGTTTGGTCAGCACTAAATAAAAAAATAAAATATCATTAACAAAGGCAAAAGTGTCTTTTTTTACAGCTTTTGGTTTTGAAAAAAGACATTACAGTCCGAATTTTTAAAAACCGCGAACCTTACAAATTTTCGGTTCCAAATAATACAATAATTACGTTGACAATTTTTAAATTTAAGATGGCACAAAGTTCAAGAGAAATCGACATAAAAAAGAAACATTTAAAAAGCAACCTATTTACACAATAGTTGGCAGTTCCTTATTTCAAAAAAATATATTTTATATGCTTTATTTTATATTTTAGTCAAGTACTTCATTTAAGAAAACATTAGCACCACTTTACCACTCCTGGCCAAATAAGTAACTGGTAAAAGCAAATCTGCTACACAATTTGTATCATGAAAATGATAGAATACACCTTTTCATGTGTTAAAAGCCTTTGATTAATTATAATAGTCATCTTTTTGTATGTGAATTTATATGTGGATATATAAGATTTCTCTGAGCTTATGAGTTACTTGTATAGAAAAGAAATGAGATGAATGGACTTTCAGTATTGTTGTTTACCAAACATTTATATGTATTGTCTTCCCCTCTTGCCATGAAAAGTCGGTAACGACCCTCTCTACTACACCTTATCCCCTTTACGACACAGCTTCAGAAGTGAAAGGCCTGTGTGACGGAAGATTTCCGTCGTGTGTTCTTAAGGGGCTTATATGGCCCCCAACATTGTTGTTTTTAAAATATACTAATCACTGGGTCTGATTTATTCTTTAACCCAGCCTGGTCATGCAGTCGTATTCCCACATCGCAAATGGTCCAGGGAATGCTTTCTTACTCTAACTTTTTAATCAAAATTATCACCTGCTGCAACTTGAACCCAGACTTCTTAAGTGTTAGCATACTTTAATGCAAATAGAAGATCTCAGAGTTTTATTTTACTAATTTACCTGCAAACGGAAATACAATTCTCCAATTCTCGAACATTCAAGGCCACTCATTTGTTTGTGGTTGGTGACTTTTTTTAAGAGCAAGAAATAGTTGTTAAAGTGTTTTTATAACTCAAAACCTTTTAATCTTAAGTTAAAATGGAAAAGTTCAGCCGACGAGCACAGTAGAGATCTGTAAACCTGCTCGACCACATACTCGAAAAGAAGCACATTCACCCCAACACTAGCAGAGACCCAGAACAGCAAACACGTGACGACTCCTAGGCCTAGACGAAAACAAGCAACCCAGACCTACTAAACACTAATAAAACACAGGAGAAGGCGGCACAGCAGCCTCAGTGCACACTAGACAAACCGGGCCTGGGAGTTTAGGGAACGAATTGCCAGACTAAGGGAACTGTGCTAACCAGCAATGCTAACATTATGAAGCTGTCCTTGAAAGTGCCCCTGACGTGCCTCAATGCTTGTTTTAACCTTACCTAAAACCCTGATGTACAGATGTATGTTACGAGATGATACCATTGCAACTGTACCGGTATTTACCCTACTTTGTACCCTCCCTCCCTTTCTGATTTTGTAACCCTCACCCCTACCAACCTACGACCAAAATCAAAAATAAAGAATTTATAAAAAATAAAAAAATGGAAAAGTTCATTTTCCAATTACAAAAAATAGCAGATTACTTAACTAGAACAAGCAGTGTCTCTACAATATAACACTCTAAGTTCCTGCTCTTCAAGTAGCATATGAAATGTAGGTCATGATTCAACAAATTGACGTAAATTGACTCTAGAGGCCACTTCTAACTGACATCTATTGTTCCAGTTAAGCACAACAAAACTGTTATATAGTATGCTATGACTTGATTGGGACATGGCTAAAACAATAATTTAAAATATATGACAAGACCTTCCCAGGGAGTAGCCTCCTTGTTTAACCATGTGTTATGTTGGATTTGTTGTAAATGAGTCTGAATATTACCATTCAGTGCTGAGGCAGGCAACCTTTTAGCAGTAATGTGCCAAAACAAAATCTTGAAGTCCCTTGGCGTGCCGGTCCTATTTTTGTAAATTGAGGTGTGTATGTTGCCTTATTCTGCTCGTGTTATTTATGGTTGCTGTAGTTGCTTTGTAGCATCGTATTTGTGCATATGTAGGCTGTTATACTCTATGTTCATGAGTAGTTTGTAGTATTGTGTATCAAACCTATGAATGTGTGCTGTGTATGGGGGCTGCTTGTAGAATTGTGTGTCTGGAAGATATATCATATTTTGTGTTTAGTGGTGTGTGTATATGTGGGGCTGCTTGTAATATTACATGTGAGTGGGTGCTTGTGGTGTTGTGTGCGTGTCTGTATATTTTTTGTTGTGTAGTAATTGTGGGCACTGTGTGTGTTTGCGTGTGGGTTGTTTGTAATATTTGTATGAGGGGTGGAGTCTTCTGCAGCTCTGTGTATATCAAGCAGTATGGGTGGCTCCCCTGAGGTCCAGTGGAGATTGGGCTGACCTCGTACTGGTCAAGGGCAGGAGCTTTGATAGTTGCTGTGGGCTACTTTACTTCCGTGCACATTCCCTTTAACAAGTGCTGGAATCAAGTGATCTGAAATCACTTTCCCTAAGTGTTACAATGCATAAACTGAGGATTGTCCCTCATCACCTGCAATCACCGCTCAGGTGGCAGTAGCAGATATCTGAACTCACATGGGGACTCCTGATAGGCCAGAGCCTGTATGGTTCGTGCAAAGGCACCTCAAATGCAATGCATGGCACACATGCCGTAGGTTGCTGACCCCTGATGTAGTGTTATTGCAATCAATGATAACTGCAATTGCATTCTGAAATACAGTTTAAAATCCAATGAATGGAGTAGGCTGTAGGCCATCATAAATTAATGAGATTTTTATAAATTGTGATTTCCAGGACAAAACTTGACATTGGCAAGGTCCTAGTTAATAATAACTAAAAGTCTTTGTTTACCCTAGGGTTTGGGAACACAGGTAATGGTGGACATTAATTTGCTTTGTTTTTACATTTACACTGAATACAGTAGTCTATGCAGCCATCCCAGATCAATGAAAGGTTAGACACAGGACTGATACATTTATGTAAAGAACCCCATCTAAAATGGGTGGAACTCACTAAGGATTATATTGTTTCACATGGAATTGCAATCACATGATGTAAATATTTTAACACTACTGTACAGAATCTTTGAAAACCTATGTAAAACTAACACTTGATTAAAATAACACTATATAATCACCCAGACCACTTTATGTCAATGAAGTGGTCTGAGTGCTGTGTCCCTGTCCGTGTAACACGGCACTGACTGAGTAAAAGTCGGTTACATGGCGCAGAGATGGTTTCCAATGGGGAAGTATGAATGCGTGTGCACCGCTCGTCACACATGCGCATTAGGTCCCCAATGCTTCTCTATGAGAAGCATTGGATTGGACAATCATGGAGGAGGCCATGTCTCCTCTGTGACATTGCGGGAGGCAAGGAGTTAGAAAAAGGCGCTAGGAAAAATTTAAAAACTTTAATGCACTTCGGGAGACATTCCTGAATAGGGACAAGGGACATTATAGCATTAGAAATACAGGTTTAAAACTACACTTCATTTGGTGACAATACTTTTTCATATTTGAGGAGAAAAAAACAGCTTATCAATATGACACTCCAGGAACTATCACAACTTTAATCCATTTGAATGCTTTTGACCTCATTAAAACCCTTTATTTTTGGCAGCTGCTTTATTCAATCCTAAATCGAGCTGCAGACAGCCAGATTAACACAAGACAGTAGTGATATCGTTACTATATGTGTTTCTGGACGTTCTTTAGTTCTAATACAAGCATTCTGGCTTATAGCAGTTCGGCTACCACAGTGCTGTCAGTGATAAAGCATGTACACTGATAAAGAAGTATTTTTCTGAAATAGGAAAGTGAATCTAGGAAGGCAGGTTCATTCTACAAAACATGACTATGAAGACTATGACAATTTTAGAACATGATAATACAGCATATTGGGCCAAAGCCTATCAAATGCAATAAAGTTATGTTGGTGCTCAGAGTTTCGCTTTAATCCAGTTTAGCCACAAAAAGTGATCTTAGCAGAGTGAATGGATATATATGTGACAAAAAGTTGCATCAAGGTTTTTTTTAGAGAAAAACTGGATACGACTTTGTATGGGTTTGGTTTGCTTTTTAAAAAAAATCAAAATGCTGATATTTTTTTCAAAAGAGGAGATTGATTAACCTGCTTCTTTTTGAGTCACTTGATGAAATTTAATGCTGTCAACACATTGTAAAGCTACGCAGGAGATCAGATACAGACCCCCTTTTTCATTATGGCAGGGAAAGGGTCCTCCCAAAGGGAGGAAATAGATATATAAACACAGTAGAATTAAGAGCCCAAGAATGAAGTTACAATTCTTTCTCTGTCTCCAAATATTGTACAAAAGTAAGCACTGGTAAATAAACCAAATCCATAGACATGCAATAATTATTAATATTAATGTTGATTTTTGGTTTTACACTTAATGCGGTGCATATAAAAATATGTTTTATAGACACGACAGGATTTATCATGATGGGTTTGCTTTTACCCGTTATTATATTTGACCAGATCATAACGACAACACTTATTACAAGATACCATAGCACCATTGTACTATTTAACAGCATTACACACCAAAATTATATATTTGCATTAGTGACTAGATTTGACGTACTAAAAAAATGAAAACAAAATGTATATGGTTTGAAATTTAACTAGCTTTTTTTTACGTGTAGTTAAAGAAAAAAAACGTACAGGAATCCGTGACGTTAATTTAATCCTTTTAGTGCAGGCATCTGTGGCACTCAAAGTTATCATTATATCAATCCATATTTAAGGAAATAAGAAAAAATATTTAAGGGAAGATTTTAACTATAGCATAATACATTATGTGGAATTTAGTAATGCTTAAAAATTCAAAGCTTTTTTTTTCTTTTGCCAAAGACAAAAATTGTGCAAATATAGGAAGGGCAGGCAAACAATGTTATCAGACACTGAAAAATAAACAGCCTGTTGCATGTATAGAAGTGCAAATTAGAGAAAATCTCTTGGACAATGCTGGATAATACTCCTAGAATCCATGGAACATTGATTAAATTTAGTGCAATTGGAGCCATCAAAAGGCCATTACTTTCTGGACCTTTTGGGAACACAGACTATCAAAAAGAAATGTTTGTGCAGGATATGTAAAACAGGCGAAAGATTAAACAGGATTAAATCAGCCTTGTGAGTTGGAATATTCGTTTCTGGAAATTCTAAGATTGGAATGTGCATTTGTATTGTTCATAGGAAAAATGCCCATTGATTCAGATATGTGTAAAATCTTCACTGTTTTATCAGATTCTTCTGTTACAGTAACGTATCCTGCAGATGGTACATTCATACTTCAAGATGCTGTGTGGCAGGAATTAAATCCTGAAGCTGCGGCTTCCTGTGTTTCCTCGACTTGCGTTCTTCAAATGTACTTCCTATTGAAGACAGAGATTAAATTTTACTCAAACAGTGGATACAAAATGAACAAACAATGTTACAGGATGCTCATTGACAGGGCTTGTGATATAGGTGAATATTGCTAATCTCTAAAGCTTTGGTCTACACAGCAATATTGGTATGGTCACCAAGCAAACCACAATTTTAGTTAAAGGGCCAGGAAAACAAACCATTTTCCTGGCACTGCAGGTCCCCTCTCCCTCCCACCCCCCATCCCATGTTGCTGAAGGAGTTAAAACCCCTTCAGTGATTTACCTGTATCCAGCGCCGATGTCCCTTGGCGCTGGTTCAGGGTCCACCCATGCTCCTCCCACGCCGACGTCATCCGGTGGGGGAGACCTATTGTGCATGCGTGACCGCCGGCGGGGGAAACCTAATGTGCATGCTTTCAATGCTTTCCTATAGGGATTTCAGCTACGCTGGAGCGTGAGGACGTCCAGCGACGCTATAGCACACGGAATGTGTGCTATACACACGGTAGTGCCCTCTAGACAGCCACTAGAGGAGGAGTTAACCCTGCTATGTAAATATTGCAGTTTATGAAAACTGCAATAATTACAGTTGCAGGGTTAAGAGTAGTGGGAGTTGGCACCCAGACCACTCCAATGGGCAGAAGTGGTCTGGGTGCCTGGAGTGTCCATTTAACTAAAACATATAATAATGGAGCTATATACAAGTGTAACAAAAAAATGTATGAATTTTTGGGGTAGTGTTCTAAAAGTAATTACAGCGGAAACCAATAAAAAAGTGGGACCATATGGTTTCAACAGTGATTGCTAAATTTTGCATGGATGAGGTTAATTAGCATTTAATTCTAGACATATAAGACCCATACTGGTCACAAATCAAGTTTTGTAAAAATGGACACTTTTCATCGAGGATCAAGGTGATAAAAAGTCCTTGAGGTATTGGATAACGAGGGAAAATTCACATAAAAATGTAAAACTAGAAAGGTTTCAGTACTTCGGAAATGTTACCAATCCATCTAGAATGATTAGGGAGTGTCTGGGGAAATCTAGTACATTCCGTGTGCACATGTATTTGATCATTATTAGTTATAAAACGCTAACAAATTCCTCAGTGCTGTGCAATCAGATTATCTATGTCTCTATAACGCATTATCCCACACTCCCCAACAACTATCCATCACCTTTAGCTCTAGATGTTCTCCACCAATTGCAATATGAGGCCTTGCTTTCTTATGTTTTGTTAGGTGTTTACTTTTCATTGCTTTGACTTATTTCCGTAAAAGAATTGGCAATTTATTAGTCCACCTCCTTTTTCTATATATTGTTATAAGATGTAACTTGACGTTATCGTCTTGTACTTTTAAATTGTCAGTCACTTCATAAAATTGTTTAAAACTGATAGGCTAATACATGGCTTAATTTAGAAAGTGAAATATGTATGTTTTTTGCAGGCTTTTTATTTCTTTATTTTTTTTTTTATATATATTTCAGATGTGTACCTGCCTGGTATTGTTTTTTTTCTTTTGCTCGTGCTTCTGTGATTCAGGCCTTGGTACTCTTGTCATCATAAATATCTCCTAAAATTTATAAGTGTTTCTATGCTTCTTATTAAACTTCCAGTGTCCCACCCCGATCCTGCCACCCCCCACCCCCCACCCTATAAATTAAATCCTATTGTGAATTCATGTCTGTGTTTTATAAATAGTCCATGGATCTTCTTATATCAAATCAATTCTTAAGTCTTCCCTCCTTTGAAGGTTGAATACCGCTCGTGCCCATTTATTTTAAGTAAAATTGTACCTTCGCGTTTTTTTTATCTAGTGATTGGAGCTATTCCTGATTTTATTTTCAGTTAGCCAGGTTTTTAGATCATCTGCATGATTAATGGGAGTGATTTTCCCTTCATGCGTTATTAGAATTTTAGTGGGGAACCCCCATTGTTAGTTAATATTGTTTTATCTCAAGATTGATGTGCCTTCAGTAAAGGTCTTCCTCTTTTGTCTGGTTGACCATGGCAAGTCCTCAAATATTTTCAGTGTTTCGTATTTTTCTGCGCATTTGTTGCATCTTATGGCTCTCAGTATTTGCGTCTTAATTTTACAAGAGGCGTAACATATCAGAACATCTCTTGGTAGGTAGTCTGGGACCCCCTTAGGTTTATTCACTCTGTGGCATCTCTCCATCATAGGGATTCTGGCGTTCCATTCCACTTTCAGATCTTTAATAAATTCCTCTATGTATGACTCCAGATTTTTTGCGTTAATTTGTTCTGATATTCCTCTGAATCTTAAGTTGTTCCGTCTTGACCAGTCTTCTAGGTCTATCAATTTGTTCTCCATGTCAGCCATTCTTTTTTCCAGCGCCAGATGCTCTTCTTTGTGGAATTTTTCCTTTTGTTCCAACCCGTTTAATTTTTCTTCTATTCCATGGATTTGTGTATTCAAAGTCTGCAATTTCTTCTCTCAGTTTCCCAAATTGTGTGTCCAAGTGTCTTAGTAGATGGTCATATTCATTTCTTCCTCCTCTTGACTCTTGGTTTTCCTCCATTTGTCCTTTATTAGTGTCTACATCTAGTGGGTTATTTTTATTTCTTTATTAATTCTGCAAAGATTTAATAATTTAATAATCTCCGTGGAAACCAATGTAATGTACCTGCTGATGGCTCTACTTTTAGAACTTTGCTTTAGAGTTATGCTTTATAAATATCCCTCATTGGTTTGTTCAACTTGATGATAAGGGTTTTAAAAAGGTTAAAGACCTTTCAATTACAGTGTCAACTCTATCTATGACCATCAGATGGGGTTTAAAGTTTTAGCTTAGCATCTATTTGTCTATACATACTGTGTAAACCCACGTAGTCCTGTACTCTTTCGAGGAATTATTTTGGCACGAATTAATCCATGCGCCATCACGTATTAGTAATGTATGAAACAATCACCTGCCTTTTACAGCATTTTTCCAAGTTAAAATACATATATAGCAGTCTCTCAGAACTGCTCATCATTATCAGTAAAGTCTAATGGGTCACTGGGCTAAAGGATGTAGATAAACATAGCTTGTAAGAATAGTTAAACTTTAACCAGTCTCAGAGATTACTATGTAAATTATTGAAATCAGGACTGTCTGAGTTAGGAGAAAACTTTTCAGCCTCGGAAGTGTTAAAAAAAAATTCTATTTGTCATGGATATAATTTTAAAGTGCCTAAACCAGGCTTCCCCAAACTCCGGCCCTCCAGATGTTGCTGAACTACAACTCCTATTATTCTATGAATGAAATATATAGGCTGAGAATCATGGCAGCTGTAGTTCAGCAACATCTGGAGGGCCGGAGTTTGGGGAAGCCTGGCTTAAATGTTTGATAACACAGGTACACATATCATTTTCATTCTATACTACAAAGCAGTTCATAAGTGCCAAGATAGTGGCCCACATTTTGTTCTTTTGGCTTTTAACTCTAAAAAAGTACATTTAGAATTAAACTAAAACTAAGAGCTTTAAGTTGAGGCTATTACTATCAATATTTGTCAAATGTGTGGTTTCTTTTTTGGAAAACAAAAGTATTTGCAACTTTTACCACATTTATAAATAAAGCCTTCCTATTTAAAGGACCACTATAGTGCCAGGAAAACATACTCGTTTTCCTGGCACTATAGTGCCCTGAGGGTGCCCCCACCCTCAGGGTCCCCCTCCCGCCCGGCTCTGGAAGGGGAAAAGGGGTTAAAACTTACCTTTTTCCAGCGCTGGGCGGAGAGCTCTCCTCCTCCGATCCTCCTCTTCTCCTCCCCGTCGGCTGAATGCGCACGCGCGGCAAGAGCTGCGCGCGCATTCAGCCGGTCACATAGGAAAGCATTCATAATGCTTTCCTATGGACGCTGGCATGCTCTCACTGTGAAAATCACAGTGAGAAGCACGCAAGCGCCTCTAGTGGCTGTCAATGAGCCACTAGAGGATTAGGGGGAAGGCTTAACCCATTCACAAACATGTTTATGAAAAAATGGGTTAACCCTAGCTGGACCAGGCACCCAGACCACTTCATTAAGCTGAAGTGGTCTGGGTGCCTAGCGTGGTCCTTTAATACTAGGGTGCAGATCCTTTACATTCTGATGCCCTCAAGTCTATGATCCAGACGTAACCAACCATCGGGTATATCCATCAAAGATGTTCTGCATAGTCCACATTTAATTTCCTTTTTGTTTGAAGGCACATTTAGCTTTTATTTCGTTTCAGCAAGCACAATAAGTGCTTACATCAGTTTACTGATATGGCCAATCCTAAACATCCCATCCGTTGGCCCTCAATGCCACTTAGCCGCTAAAGATGTTTAAGTTAATGGTTGCCGTATGATTTCAAGACATTGGTTGGATGTAAACAGTGATATGGATCCAAGTTTCCAGTGATTTGCATCCTGCAAACCTTCTTAACTAATTTTCTGTTAGTCTTTAATTTATAATAATCTTTTAAATTGGTCAACAGTCTAATGTGTGTTCAAATGGGGGATTTAATTAACAAAAGACAGTTTCTGAGGTTTAAGCGTTGCTTGTCTGATATGGGATCCCAGTAAACTTTCAGTACTGAGTCACCATGGAGGAGAGTTTGACCAATATTCTTTGGATTTCTGTTGAATATAAGGCACTCAAATCTCCATGAACTAACTATGAGTATGTAGGTTTTCCAATTGTACTAAGGTCTTCTTTTAATAATTAGTTTGTATTTACCAAATAAAACATACCCTTCTGTATAAACAGACTTAAACAACGTATGGATGACTTAAATACGCACTTTGGCTTCACTAGAAAGTTAGTAACAAATAATCTTGAGTGATAGGTTACCTTCTGGGCTTTTGGCATATCAGTGTGACGCTGAGCACGCACAGAACGTGCTGACTTTGCCGGCTTGGCGGGTGCACAGTACATCTCTAGCCTCCTTAAATCACAGCTTTGAAAGCAACACTCATCCACTATTCCTTTGTGATGGGAACGTCGAAAGCTGGATCCATACCCTGGAGGCCTGTCTGTGTAAAAAAAAAAAAGAAAAAAAAGTTGTAACAATTTTGACCACTAATACATATTGAGTACATTTGAAATAAACAATAATAGCATTTTAAGATGTGCCCAGTCTTCCAATATACAGAGCAATTTCATGAATACGTCATGTTTTGTTTTTTTAAAATTCAGTGATTTTGTATATATTTACTGCAGGGCTAATAACACAAAATATTCTGATTTTAACTTGAAAAAATGAGTCGATCATTTGTTGAGATCACAAGATTCTATAACAGGGAACGACACCAACTGGCTTGGAAAAAGAGATTAAACAAGTGAAAACATGTGAAGCACTTTGTTTGCTGATTTGCAAGGCATACATTTACAACATCAATGGTGTCAACATTTATTTTAGATAAAGTACTTGATTGAGTACCAACATGTTTCAATTTTCACGAATTTTCAATCTATAACGCTCTACAAAGAGGTTTAATATGTTTTGCAAGGAACATAAATGTTATATTAGCAGCTTTCAGTTGATTTTATACTTTGTTTTTTACTATGTGGGTTTAATTTATTTCTATAAGTTTTTCTATTTGCATAGTTTTAGTCATATGTTTATTTCACATTGTAAGAAAGGGGCACTCTAAGCAGAATAACCACTACAGGTTATTTTATCGATTATGGTGCAAAGAGTCTATGATTGCTACTCCTGGATTGACAGCTGTGTCAAATGCCACTAAGGGAAAACGAATGCTGCCAATTAAATAATGGTAGTAATACGGTGATTTAAAAGGAGATGTTTCCCAAATTTCTCTATGTTCTCCAAATTCCAATCTGAATCTATGGGCACTAACCAGATGAGGAGTTGCTAAATTCTGAGAGCCATTCCTGGTAGTGATGTAATAGAAACACAGTCAGCACTTTCAGTAGTTACATTTATTCAAAGACATGAATGGAACCACAGCCCAACCTGACAGCAGCCACTCCTGGCTTTTATCAGTTTATCACTATATCTAATAATGGAATTTACACATTACATGCATATGCAGAACCCATCCGATAAGCTGGAAAGATCAGCAAATATTTCCCTTTTGACGTACTTGAATAAGAGAGTAACTCTACAGTTGCAGCACAATTTACAAAAACAAAAGTTTATTGAACTTGGAATCTCTTAAATATACCTTTCACAAGTGATGTTTCGTGGTCTTAGGTTATTATTAACTAGCTAAATTTTACTTGTTTTATCAACCTTGGATAGTTGAATGGTCAAGCTGATTCTGCAGGAAGTAAACCTGTAGCCTTGAGGTATTACCAATTACTAGAAATGCAGCAATGCACTAACCCCTTAAAGGGACACTGTAGGCACCCTGACCACGTCAGCTCATTGAAGTGGTCTGGGTGCTGTGTCCCTTTTGCACCTAGTTCTGCAATGTTAAACATTACAGTTCCAGAGAACTGTAATGTTTACATTGCAGCACTAAGTCTGCTTTCAGTGGCTGTCTACCAGAGAGCCACTAGAGGGCTTCCGTAATCCAAACTGACTTTTGTTCCGTTATCTGATGCCGATCTGCATGAGGACCTCCAGCGTCAGATTTTCCCCATAGGAAAGTGATTCAATTCTTTCCTATGGAGGAGGTCTAATGCGCACGCAGCATTTGCCACGCATGCACATTAGACGCCGCTCGTCGCGGGACAGAGGATGGGGCAGAGCTTTGACCCAGCGCCGAGGGACATCAGCGTAAGTAAATAAAGGGTCTTTAACCCTTTATTTACCGGGGAGAAGGGGAGTGCAAGGGAGGGGGGAGGCAGAGGGATCGGTAGTGCCGGGAATACAGCTTTGTATTCCTGGCACTACAGTATCCCTTTAACCAATTAACAAGTCATGCCCTCCCCTTCCGCCCAGACTTCCTGTGACTGTCCAATCACAGACTCCCCAAAGTAGCTCAATGAGAAGTCTTTGCAAGGCAAGTGCTCTGAGCAATTTCTGCCTATTGACTTTAGTTCCACTGGGATTTGTTTTAACCCATTTATGGATGCATACATATCTTAAATATATGTATGAATATCTGACTTTGTTGCAATTTCCACATATGAAGCAAATTGGTGGATAAAAATGTGCACCAGGCTGGATTTTCATATCATTTGTCTCTGTCCAAAAGGCTTGTCATAATGCATTCCTTTGATTTGCTCAACCTTCAGTGTACTGCGTTCAGATATCACTGATATTTAGGCCAAGCATTGTGGGTTTTCTATTTAATTTTTTTTCTTTGACTGTTTGACTGCCTCTAGAGAGACAGTTATAGGTACAATATCGGTTCAGGAATACAAACATGTATTCCTGAAATCGTTATGTTTAACTATTTAGGTATCCAATTGCATAGGAAAGGTGAGTTTACTTGCCTTTCTTCCCACGCCACATCAGTTTTACCACAGCTGGCCCCGCCTCCATGGCAATCTTGATGATCTCAGCCAATCCAATGCTTTCCTATAGAAAAACATTGGGAGGATTTTGCGCATGCGCATGAGTGGCAACAGCATCTCCTCATTGAATCTATGCATCTCTATGGGGAACATGCAGCTCCTCTATGCAGAATGTGGAGACGCTGAACGCCAGTGATAGGAAGCACCTCTAGTGGCCATCTGAGTGACAAATGTAAAATATTATTATAAATTGAAGACTAACTAAAATCAGTTAAGCGGGTTTGCAGGATGCAAATCACTGAAAACTTGGATATGTTTACATCTAACCAATATCTTGAAATCATACGGCAGCACTTGACCCTCTTTTCCATCACTACCATTACTTTAAACATATTTAACAGCTAAGTGGCATTGAAGGCCAACAGGTAGAATGTTTAGAACTGGCCATATCAGTCAACTGACGTGAGAATGAATTGTACTTGCTGAAACTAAACCAAAGATAATTGTGCCTTCTAACAAACAGGAAATGAAATGGGGACTATGCAGAACAAATTTGAGGGATATACCCTATGGTTGGTTATGTCTATGGATCGTAGACTTTAGGGCATCAGAATGCAAAGGATCTGCTACCTTGTATTAAAGGACCACTATAGTGCCAGGAAAACATACTCGTTTTCCTGGCACTATAGTGCTCTGAGGGTGCCCCCACCCTCAGGGACCCCCTCCCGCCCGGCTCTGGAAAGGGGAAAGGGGTAAAACTTACCTTTTGCCAGCGCTGGGCGGAGAGCTCTCCTCCTTCTCTCCTCCTCCGATCCTCCCCGCCGGCTGAATGCGCACGCGCGGCAAGAGCTGCGCGCGCATTCAGCCGGTCGCATAAGAAAGCATTTACAATGCTTTCCTATGGACGCTGGCGTGCTCTCACTGTGAAAATCACAGTGAGAAGCACGCAAGCGCCTCTAGTGGCTGTCAATGAGACAGCCACTAGAGGATTAGGGGGAAGGCTTAACCCATTAATAAACATAGCAGTTTGGGTTAACCCTAGCTGGACCTGGCCTAGAGTGGTCCTTTAAATAGGAAGGCTTTATTCTTTAAAAAGGAAATGTTTACAGTGCTCAGCCTGCATGGATAGACTATAGACACAAGAACCACTACATTATTGGCATTTAGAAAGTGCAAGCATATTCCACAGTACTGTACAATTGTGGAAAAAGACAGTACTATCTACTCAGATGAATACAAAAGGTAGCTAAGCTCTGCATTGCAGGTGAGATAGAGAACTTCTGCCATAGGAAGTAGTGAAAGTGGGAAGCGATGCCCAGCAGGTGTTAAACTGTTATAAAACAGTCTGAATCCTTACAATGGGTGGGACTTCAGGCTACTCCAAGTGAGCTGTAGTGGTTATAGTACTTGGAGTGTTCCTTTTAAGCCATTAATCGTCAACCTGCACATCTGTTCCTGACAGATGCCTTAATGGTTGAAATAGTAGCATTCTTTGAGACTTTATTATAATTTAACATAAAAATATTTATTTATGAACTTGTCATTATAGTCGAATTACAAACTGAAACATATGTAGAGGAAGAAACACATGTTATACATTTCTACTATGATTCTTGGTAAAGACTTGCTGACTGTAGCTATTATAAATGTTTCTTATCTTTATTGCACTAATTCCTTTTACAAAAAGAAGTCTGAAATTGTCCATATAGACCAGCGTTTCCCAACTGGTGTTCCCTAGAGGCTGTAGGGCAATATGTGTTAATTTATATGTTAATTATGGTATGCATATATATTTATGTGTTTATTTATATTTGAATTAAAAGAAAAGAATTAATTTTGGATGTGTCCTACAGTTGTAAGTTTTAATAAATGCTGTGGCCTGTTTCATCCAATATTCGTTGTCTGTCGTTATTAGGGGGACAAGTGGGGTAGTCTCTTTACTTTTAATCGCACCACATTCCCCGCTACATACATACATGTTCAGATCTGTATTTTTCCAAATCTTTTTGCTCCACGTCTAACTCAAAAATCCTGCTTAAGTGCAGTTCTTTCTAAGAATGTTATTAAAATCAGCATCCTTTTCAGTCAGTTTGTGAGATCTGTATTTTTTCTTTTTTTTTCTTTTTTTTACAAATAAACAACTATGAATTTGGAAAGCTGTTTAAAGCAGGGAACTCTTCAGGGAAAATTATTACTACTTCTACCTGTTCGGCACTTATAGAAACTGAGAAAGAAGATACAACTAAAAATCCAGAAAACATCCAGAAATAGTTGTATCTACTGTTTCTCAAATAGCAAAGACAAACAAGTGACAAGTCAAAAAAAAAAGGAAAGCACACAATGCTAGCCAATCTTCTTCTCAAACAAAGAAAAGAAAATATGATGATAGCTACTTGTCATTTGGATTCACAGGTGCCAGAAATGAAGATTAAGCACAATGCAAACTTTGCAATAAAATATTGCCAAATAGTTCATTAGCACCTGCTAAATTACGTCGTCATTTTGAGCAAAACCACGCAGAGTACAAAGATAAAGACATTGACTTTTTTAAGCGAAAGCTAAAGAAGTATCAGAAGAGTAAACAATTTATGAGCAAAAAAATGTCAACATGCTAATGAAAAAGCCACAGAGGCTTCTTACAGAGTGAGTTACCACCTAGCACTTGCAGGAGAAGCACACACAATTGGGGAATCACTAATAAAACCATGTGCAAAAGAAATAGTGTCATGTATTTTAAGTGAGAAGTTGAGTAAAAAATTGAAGCTGTGCCACTTTCCAACAAGACAGTTTTGTGCCATACTCATGATCTTGCTGATGACATCCATACTGAACTAATTTCTTGACTGCATCAATGTGATGGGTACTTACTGCAATTAGACGAGTTCACGGATGTTGCAGGACTTTCAATTTTGTTGGTTTTTGTTAGATATCATTTTGACAAATAGGTTTGCTTCTGTGTGAAACTTTGAAAACTCATACCACTGGTGAGAACATCTTTAACTGTATCCAGAAGTTCATGAACGCACACAGTATAAATTGGGACAAATGTGTGGATGTGTGCAGTGATGGTGCCGTGGCAGGCGCTGTGACATGATTAAGAAATGTAGCAAAAATCAGCACCACATGCACTGGTAGCCAAAAAGATTTCAATCTCACTTAAAACTGTGCTAGACAAATCAGTCCAGATTATTAATTTTATAAAAAGTCGACCATTACAGTCACGACTATTTAAAATAATATGTGAAGATATGGCTAGTCACCACTCTGCTCTGCATTTGCATTCAGAAGTCCGTTGGCTATCACGAGGTAAAGTCTTGTTAGAATGTTTGAATTGCGTCAAGAGTTGTTTGCATATTTCCAGGATCATAAATTTGGATTATCTGATCGATTAACAAACACTCTGTGGTTATCCAAAGTAGCATATCTTGCAGACATATTCACAAAATAAAATGACGTATGTTTAGCGCACCAAGGAAAAAACACTAATATTTTTAATGCAAGAGATAAAATAGTTTCACTGTCTTGTAAGCTGCAGTTTTGGACCTCATCTTTTGAGCACAATAATTTGAACACTTTGCCAACACTTAAGGATTTTCTTGAAGAATCAGACATTTAACTTGAAGATGAAATTCGCAATGAAATTGTAGATCATCTTCGCCATTTAAGCACATCTATTAATCAGTATTTTCCATTCTTGAATGAAAACAATGAGTGGGTTCAAAATCCATTCATAAAAGACAAGCCAGTCAATCTTTCTGATGTAGATTTTGAGAATCTGATCGATATAACTTCTGACAGTCAACTAAGCCAAAAATTTTAAGAAATTTCTCTTATTGCTTTTTGCGGTGATTTACAGGACAAATACCCAGAATTGTCCAAGCGGGCAATCAAAGTTATGTTGCCATCCGCCAGCACATGCTTATGTCAAACTGGATTCTCGCTCTACTCTGCAACAAAAACAAAGTATCGAAATCGACTTGACGTAACTGCAGACATGCAAATACAATTGAGAACAGTTGAACCAGATATAAAAAGAATTTGCCAGCAATAGAGAACATTACAGTCTGCTCATTGAAAGGTTTGTGCTGCGCAGTGCTACTCTATGGCACACATTTTTTTGTTGGGGTTCCAAAGTTTTGCTATATAATGTCAAAGGGTTCCAAGGGAAAAATTAATTGGGAAACCCTGGTATAGACTAAAAGAGGAACGGTGATGCTGCAATACTTTACCAGTCTAAAAATAATATTTAAACAAAGCAATGGCTTCATGCTATCTAATGATCTTATCGCAGACCTTGAAACACTTATCCATTTTCCTAGAAAAAAGATTTAGTCATGCAAAGCACTTTTGCAGCCAGTGAAAATTTTCTTGGCTGTTGATCTCACTTTCTACCTCTGGAATCTGACCCGATATAAAAAAAAATGCACACTGTGAACAGTATGGGACATGTATAGTTCTTTATTTAAATTCTTCTTCTGAGGAACTAAATTAGCATTAGGGAAATTCTACATGCAAACATGACGTGAATTGGCATGAACAACTTCCAATATTAACATGGAATTTTACACATAGTAGGTATTACCAGTATTGGCCAATATTACACAAACAAAATGGAAATATTAAAGTAAAAAATAGTGTTAAAAAGGGAAATAGGTAATGGGAAAATAGATGTCTATGATTAGTGGATCATATAAAATTCTACAAAGGATACACAGAACAGAACGTTACACAATTTTCCTTTGTTAAGCCCATGTTTAAATGCACTTGCACTGCAGTTGGCATAAAACATTAGCATTTCAATAATTACACAATTGCACATGCGCTCCATAAAGCACCCTACGCTTTAACTTGAAACCTGGCATGCATATTCTCTATGATGACATCGCGTAACAAGATACCACCGGAACCGGTGCGAAAATTGCCCTGCCTCCACCCCCAATGTGTATCATTACATCAAACCCCTGTCCCACCAAGTGTATAATCCCTCCCCCCAGCTCCTTCATGTGTCTCATCCCAACCTCCAAGCTCCTCTATGTGTCTCATCCATCCTCCCAGCTCCTCCACGTGTCCGAGACAGGGGTCCACCAGGCCGCCCATACTATTTAAAGGGTAATTTGTCTCTGTATTTAAAGCCCCACACACTCGCTCTCCCAATTTCAGACCTGTCAAGTTTTGACACATCAAAGATATTTCACACCGTTTTGTAAAAGGTTAACATGTTAGAAAATTCTGGGGTCTACACTACAAATTGTAACAAAAGAACTAATCATTTTGAAATGCTGCACATACAGATATTAATCTCTCTGATCATCATAAGGGTTTCATCCACCAGCCTAGAAGTAGAATTCCGGGCTGACTAATGTCATTCTACAGAATGACTGTCATTGGTGGAGACCGGTCAGCTGATGCTCTCAGCCAATGAATTGTGACTGCCGCATCTTTGTGGATATTCTTTACTGGACAACCAGGAAGCATCGGGACCAAGGTTGCGAAACGGTTTGCCCCATTACCGGGGAACTGGTTTAGAGTTCTCCCGGCATTATAATTACTACAGCAGGTTGTAATGGTTATGATTGGAATAGCCCTATAAGATATAAAACAATTGTCTGTATCTGAGTCGCCAACCGTGTGGCTAAATACACCCGATTCATGAGCACAAGTTTGGAGTAACTGAGTAATTTATTGAATATCTCAATACTGAACATGACAACATTATTTTAATAAGTTTAGGGCTATTAAAAACAAAAAAGGAAAAAATCTGACTCTTTTTTTTCTTTGTTTAAAGAAACACTCCAAACACCAAAGCACTATAGCTTGCTGACGTGCTTTACATGTGCAGAATGTCCTCCTATTTTGAATATACAAAAAGTTCAGATTTTAATTGAAATCAGCACTTTAATATATTAAAGCAAAACTATAGGAGCCTTGACAGCAGGTTTGTTTTCCTGGCACTATAGCTTCCCCTGCTGTCAAGGCTCCCTCCCACGGCACTGAAGGGATTAATAACCACTTCAGTCACTTACCTGGGTACACCCCAGCACCACATAACGGACCAAAAGTCAGTTCGGATTCCTGAAGTCCCTCTAGTGGCTGTCTGGAGGTGTTAACCCTCAGAGGTAATTGTTGCAGTTTATAAAGACTGCAATAATTATGACTGCAGGGTGATGGGAGTTTGCACCTAGACCACTTCAATGAGCTGAAGTGGTCTGGGTGCCTACAGTGTCCCTTTAATACCCCAAAGCTGCCAATCCTGTTACTTTTTGGATGTTTAGCTTAGTGAGTCAGCAATTGCTCAGAGCACCTGCCTTGCAAAGAAATCTCATTGAGCTGCATTGAGATCTGTGATTGGACAGACACAGAAAGACTGGACAGGGTTAGAAGGGGAGGGCTTGCAAAGGCAGCAGACAAGAGACCTGCAGGTTTTACAAGCTGTTTTTAGATATACCTATAATTAAAAACTGCATACTTAAATGCATGCATGCATTAGGGGTATTTCCAATAAACAATGATTTTTTTTTTTTAATTATTTGGCCACCCTTGGAATGTTTGCTAACTTCTCCTTTTCTATCTAGAATTGTAAATGGTCAAAGAGTGTGACAGAAACTAGAGTTAAGATCACAATTGTCAGATAAACATGACCACTATGTCTGGGTCTGTCACTATCAAAATAAAGATTTTATACATACCAGACTGCACGTCTGCCTTCCTTTGCATTGCTATGGATAGAATTAAAAACAACTCACAAACCAAATCCTAGCATAGTAATATGGATATAGACTGAATAATTGGTTCAGCAAGGCAATTTCCCAGACATCTTAGAAAGAGAAAGAATATCTCTTTTAAGAATGGGAAGGGTATGACATAAATTATGATAGAGCTTACTATCATTTGAAAACTATATAGCAGCCCAAAATTCAGAAAATATGTCACTAGGAAGAAAAGTGGCATTGGTGAATGACTCAGGAAGTAATTATTTTGAGAAATGGACAATGCTAGATGTAAATACATAACGATCACTTTCCATAAAGTTGAATTAGGGAAAAATACATTCTAATCTGTCTATTTAACACAGGTCAAGGGATATAAAGTAATGCCATTCCGTAGAATAGAACTAACAGACATAAGGTATAATTCATTTTCTGTTAAAATGTATCTTTATACATTTTTACTAACAAGAAATTGCACACACACCTTTGCACGTCATTCTGGACTGAAAAATAGCACTGTGTGCAATTCATTTAGGTAAAAATTATTGTGAAGAACAGGATCGCACATAAAGTCATCCACTGAACTTGCTACAAATTAAGGAACTCTCCAGTAGGAAAAAAAAAAATGTATATATATATATATATACAAATTGTATCTGTTTTTTACATATACGTCACTGGACTAATACAGCTACAATCTCTAGTTATACACACATACACACACACACACACACACATATATATATATATATATATATATATATATATATATATATATACACACACACACACACATTATTATTTTTTTTACCAATTTAATAGATATACCCCAAATGTCCCAATGCAAAAATACATCATATGGCCACATCATGTTAGGTCCACCACAGTACCCCAATATCTTATCATAAATCTCATTATTGCACACCATAAAGACTATTCTTCGTGTAGCTCAATTCCACAAACAAGACACTGCATAAACACCATCTGTTTTAGCAAGCCATGTTGTTTGCTTGTTTAACAATATGATCAACAGTTTAGTAAAAGCAACCGGCTTTGTTTAATGAGAATACAATATTGTATTGTGGTTTCAAAGTATGGATGGGGATAAAAAATAGATTTCCTCTAGAAAGCTTGTTGCATCCAATTTGAACAGTGCTTGGCATTATTACGCCTTGCAAATTGTTAAATGCATTATGCACAAAATAAAGCTAATGAGAAAGACAGGAGCTTTGTTTATTTTCATAACAGATCTGACTTTACTTTTGCTCTAATACAGTTAGAAGAATGAGATTGTGTCTACGTCTGTCTTGGCACCTGCTGTCATCAAGTTACATTCAGTTACATACTACACTACACAGTGCTCCTGCTTGTTTGATTTGTCATCCCCAATACATATTCTTTTGAGGACCAATACCCTAAACGTGAAGCATCTATATACCCCAAGGAGGGGAATGTACCGCTCAAGCCTGAACCCCAGAGTTAGTTTGAAGCTCTGTCTAAGGTAAGTAAATCCTTATCCTTTTATATATATATATAAATATATATATAACAAGAGGGGGTTGGCTGCACTCACCTTAACATGCATAAATGGGGGTGCTGCTGGGGGCCAATATATATATTGCACCATTGGATCATGTTCGATTCTTGTCCTTACATCTGACAGTAAGAGAGAACTCTGGTATGTTGTAGCTGCTATTCATCATCACAAATAAGAACTTTATTTAGTGCTTAATCTCATCCTGTTAATATATAAGTATTCTTGGTGTGTCTGATTTTATATTAGAAATCACAGCAATAATATTCACTGCAATGTGTCATGAAATGTGTTAAGAAATAAGTCTGTGTGTAAAATTTCTCGGAATAACCCGCTCCTGACCACACCCCCATTCAGAATCCTAAAATGAAAGTGTCCATTTTTGTCACTTTGAAATGTTAGCAGGTGCGGTCTAAAGTTCTGAAGGTGTGGCAATCACCATGGACACCAGTGGAATCAGCAGACACATTCTATTGGTTGCTCCTCCCATTTTATATTTTTAAAAACATTTGTAGAACAGAACAGTGTTACATTTTTTTTTATTTTATTTTTTTGCGTGGTATGAATTTTAAAACAAATAAATTGTAATGTGCATATTTTACAGTAAATGTAAACAAACAAGAAATATTCCCCCAAAAGGAAATAAATATAGGTGGATTGGCGCTGTACACAGAGTAGCAACTACCCCCAGTGTCTCAAAATCACTCAAAGACACTCCCAAATCGTGATAAAACAGAATAACAAAGTGGGGGGTGCAATAAATAGAATAAATAGTACAAAATATAAATACTTATTCGTAGTAGTAGTAGGAACTTAATCTGTAAAACACAAAAGTCCATACATAGTGTAAAACTGTAAATAGTAAAAGTGATAGAGGCAAAGGTATTGGGTCACTCACAATAAATAGAGCCTAAAATAGCAGGCTCTAGCTTGATTGCATGTGGAAAATCAGCTTTTCCCAGCTATTCAAGATGTCCCCACAGTCTTCCTATAGACACTGGTGCTGGATTCCAGATGTAGGAAAGATGGACCAAACGAATTCTTCAGCTTTAAAAAGTATTTACTTCAATAAAATAACCAGATAAATAAAAATGTAAAAATAACATTAAAACACAACGCGTTTCGACAATAAGTCTTTCTCAAGTGTACAGTCCTCTTCTTCCGGCATCCTTTTAAATCTGTGCTACCGGAAATTAGATTTCCCGCCGAGTTTCACTTCCGGTATGACGTCATGACGTACGTTCCGTCGCTGCGTCATGACGTGTCGGCTGTTATTGCGTCATTTCGTCATTCCCATGCGTCCATTCGGCAACCCGGAAGTGACTACAGGGCTCCATTTAGAAAACGGGCAAAAGCAATCCTAATTATAAATGACATCTTATTGCCTCATATAATCCAATTGAGAAAAATTCTCACATTAAATATATACTGAACACATCATAAAGAAAATATTCAGACAGAATACAAAATATGATTTTCATATTAAAATGCATAGTCATATATATACAATGGGAATAATAATTAATCCATTCCAAATCAAGTTAAAATCTTAGCATAATATGTAAACAATATATAGTTGCATATGTAGACAAATATATAATAAAATGAGACAAAAGGCAAAAAATAAAAGTCATAAAAACGTCTGAAAATATGGAATATACCCAAAAAGTCATATCAAAGCTGCCATCTCAAAATCCACGTTGAGACCGCTGGGAGACAAGGTGTCCAAATTAAAAATCCACCTCATCTCACAGCGGCTCAACGTCGATTCAACATGACCACCCCTCCAATGGGGTTTAATATGTTGGACACCAAAAAAGCTAAGCCCTGTAGGGTCTCCTCCATGGTATTTTAAGAAATGTAGGGAAACATTATGTTTCAGAAAACCTTTTTTAATATTGTAAATATGTTCTCGTATTCTTGTTTTTAATGTCCTTGATGTCTTTCCAACATACTGTAATCCACAAGGACATACGAGAACATATATTACATTTTTCGAATGGCATGTAATAAGGGAATCGATTTTATAATGGTGTGTTCCTACTCTTGATTTAAAACTCTCTAATTTCTTTGATTTATTTTTATAAGTTTTACATCCCATACAGTTACCACAATAGTGGAAACCTTTATTGTTATCCTTATAAGTGCTCAAAAAATTATTTTTAGGTTTATCCAAATAACTGGTAGTTAGAATTTGTCTAAGATTTTTTGCTCCCCTAAATACAATTTTGGGTTTATTATCAATATAGGGTAGAATATCCGTATCCTGCTGTAGTATATGCCAATTTCTATTGATCACTCTTTTGAGGGTTTTATGTTCCTTACTATAATTAAAGATCATTGGAATTTTGTCATCCCTTTTTTTATTCTCCCTAGATTTATATGTTAAAAGAGACTCTCTATTTATTCCTTTAACAGTCCTAATTTCTTCTTCTAATTTATTAGAATCATAGCCCCTATCAATAAACTGATCCTTAAGAGTATTGGCCTGATGTTCAAAAGAAATAAGGTCTGTACAATTCCGTCTTATCCGGATAAATTGACCCTTGGGGACATTATCGAGCCAAGGTAGAAAATGGCAGCTATCCATGTGGATATAACTATTGACGTCCACAGGTTTAAAGAACGTACGAGTACTAATTTTCTGATCCTGTATATATATCTCTAAGTCTAAAAAGTGGATACAATCTGATTTGATTTCCTGAGTTAAATGTATATTCCACTGGTTGGAATTTAAAAATGTAATATAATCCAAAGCAGAATTCCTATCACCTTTCCAAATTAAAAAAATATCATCGATATATCTTTTGTATAGGACCAGGTTCGCATTCCAGTTATGCGATGAATATACATATCTGTCTTCCCAGTATGACATAAACAGATTTGCATAACTGGGTGCGAACCTGGTCCCCATGGCTGTTCCCCTACATTGCAGGAAAAAATCATCTTCAAACCAAAAAAAATTGTTATGGAGGATAAGGGATATCCCCTCCATGACAAAATCCACCTGTTCAGCAGGATACAAAGTAGAGGATTCTAGAAAAAAACGTGTGGCTAAACATCCTATTTCGTGATCAATACATGTATACAAACTCGTAACGTCACATGTAATGAATAAGTACTCATCTTTCCATACAAAATCTTTTAAAATTTGTAGTAAGCTCATAGAGTCTTTCAAATAAGATGGACTCTTTTTGACTAATGGTTGGAGGTGTATATCTACATATTTCGATAAATTCGATAGAAGCGATTCCACACCTGAGACAATTGGTCTACCTGGTGGATTGGATGCATCTTTATGTAACTTTGGTAAAGTATATATCACAGGGATTTTAGGTGACTTAACATTTAAAAAGGTATACTCTTTCTGGTTTATAATGCCTTTAGAGAAACCTTTCTCCAAGTATTTCATAAATTCCTCGTTTATATCTATTTGTGGATTTTTGTCTAATTAGGACTGTTAAAGGAATAAATAGAGAGTCTCTTTTAACATATAAATCTAGGGAGAATAAAAAAAGGGATGACAAAATTCCAATGATCTTTAATTATAGTAAGGAACATAAAACCCTCAAAAGAGTGATCAATAGAAATTGGCATATACTACAGCAGGATACGGATATTCTACCCTATATTGATAATAAACCCAAAATTGTATTTAGGGGAGCAAAAAATCTTAGACAAATTCTAACTACCAGTTATTTGGATAAACCTAAAAATAATTTTTTGAGCACTTATAAGGATAACAATAAAGGTTTCCACTATTGTGGTAACTGTATGGGATGTAAAACTTATAAAAATAAATCAAAGAAATTAGAGAGTTTTAAATCAAGAGTAGGAACACACCATTATAAAATCGATTCCCTTATTACATGCCATTCGAAAAATGTAATATATGTTCTCGTATGTCCTTGTGGATTACAGTATGTTGGAAAGACATCAAGGACATTAAAAACAAGAATACGAGAACATATTTACAATATTAAAAAAGGTTTTCTGAAACATAATGTTTCCCTACATTTCTTAAAATACCATGGAGGAGACCCTACAGGGCTTAGCTTTTTTGGTGTCCAACATATTAAACCCCATTGGAGGGGTGGTCATGTTGAATCGACGTTGAGCCGCTGTGAGATGAGGTGGATTTTTAATTTGGACACCTTGTCTCCCAGCGGTCTCAACGTGGATTTTGAGATGGCAGCTTTGATATGACTTTTTGGGTATATTCCATATTTTCAGACGTTTTTATGACTTTTATTTTTTGCCTTTTGTCTCATTTTATTATATATTTGTCTACATATGCAACTATATATTGTTTACATATTATGCTAAGATTTTAACTTGATTTGGAATGGATTAATTATTATTCCCATTGTATATATATGACTATGCATTTTAATATGAAAATCATATTTTGTATTCTGTCTGAATATTTTCTTTATGATGTGTTCAGTATATATTTAATGTGAGAATTTTTCTCAATTGGATTATATGAGGCAATAAGATGTCATTTATAATTAGGATTGCTTTTGCCCGTTTTCTAAATGGAGCCCTGTAGTCACTTCCGGGTTGCCGAATGGACGCATGGGAATGACGAAATGACGCAATAACAGCCGACACGTCATGACGCAGCGACGGAACGTACGTCATGACGTCATACCGGAAGTGAAACTCGGCGGGAAATCTAATTTCCGGTAGCACAGATTTAAAAGGATGCCGGAAGAAGAGGACTGTACACTTGAGAAAGACTTATTGTCGAAACGCGTTGTGTTTTAATGTTATTTTTACATTTTTATTTATCTGGTTATTTTATTGAAGTAAATACTTTTTAAAGCTGAAGAATCCGTTTGGTCCATCTTTCCTACATCTGGAATCCAGCACCAGTGTCTATAGGAAGACTGTGGGGACATCTTGAATAGCTGGGAAAAGCTGATTTTCCACATGCAATCAAGCTAGAGCCTGCTATTTTAGGCTCTATTTATTGTGAGTGACCCAATACCTTTGCCTCTATCACTTTTACTATTTACAGTTTTACACTATGTATGGACTTTTGTGTTTTACAGATTAAGTTCCTACTACTACTACGAATAAGTATTTATATTTTGTACTATTTATTCTATTTATTGCACCCCCCACTTTGTTATTATATTTTACAGTAACATGTATTTTTTTTATTATTATTTAAAATGTGTTTTACTGGAAAAAGTTTTCAAATATGTCCCAGGACCATTGAACAATACAATTGAATTACATATTTAAAACATTTGAAACCACTAAGCAGTTATTTACAGCTATAGTTTGAAGGTAGCCACAATGAAGCAGATCTTTTCCAACAGAAGATGATTTTATGTTTTTAAGATTTTATGTTTCTGGTCATTTATACCACAGTTGCCAAGTTCAGTAAGAGAAAGCTGATCTATTGCCGTTTGACAATGCCAAATAATGAGCAGCACTAGGAACGGGCCTTGATTTGCAGAAAGCTAGAGCGTTCATGCCTCTGTGGCAGTGGAATATAAAAGATAGGTCTAGATTTAAGGATTTGTCAGTTTAGGTCATTTAATACTTATCACAGATGAGCACTGTCATCATTATGCAGGACAAAGCTGGATAGTGAAATTTATCAAATTGCGTTGGGTTTACCAAGATGCTTTTTAGGCGGAGATGTGCATTCTACATGTCTTACTGACCAGCATTACCATTTCCAGCTCATTTTTTAGACTCAGTATGTTACACAATAATTTTAGGAGATGACTGGAGTCATACTTGATAGAACAAAGGACACCACACTCCCTTGGTCCCCAGGGTGCAACTGGAGCTAGACCAAATCCCACTCTGTAGTTTATAAAGAAGCCAATGGTCCAGGCACTCAAACTACCTTAATTAGACCCATTGGGTCAAAACGTTGCTTGTACATTGTTCCATTAAATCAGCATTTACAGTTACACCTTGACTGTCTGGGTCATTGTCTACTTTGGAATCATACTTAATACATTTGGTGTCCAAATAAGATCTTAAATACATATAAATATATTTCAAAAAGATTTAGAGGTACACTATAGGCACCCAGACCACTTCATCTTCTCCCTGTGTTAATCCTACAAGTGAACACATTAGCCATTCTGCAGAGTTTAAATGCTTAACTTAGAGGTGCTTCATCTTAAACAGCAGAGTAAAACAATTAGACGACGATGCAGAAAATGTGCACTAGCCTTCCAATGCTTTCCTATAAAAAAGCATTGGGTTGACTGAGATCATCGACCTAGGTGATCTCAGCCAACGAGGTGTGATAGCAGCGAGGATGAAAAGGACAGTAAAATCACCGGTCAAACAGCCAACAGGTCTGTATAATGTTAGGAATACGCATTTGTATTCCTAAAGCTATGGTGTTCCTTTAACTATACCAAGGCGTAAATTGAATTTGTTGTGATGTTTAGATTAAAAACAGTGTGCAGTGTGTCCTTCAAGATACATATATAAAACTGTAAACAACTCTGCTCTATTGCACTTTAGCTTCTGATTTGTTTTAATTTTATAGCATGAATTATAGTATCATCGTGCAAAGCTGAAAATCTATAAAACACGGATAGGTAATTCTTAAATATTGAAAGAGATCGTGACGTTGGGAAACTCCACATGTACTTCTGGCAATGGATACACATTGACTTCTGATTAATATTGAAACTATTTCGGTAATGACTGAGGTTTTGAGGTTACTTAGCTTACGTATTAAAACACAGTGACAAATATTATCCATACGCTTTATCTAGGAAAATAGCTCCAGTAAGTTGCTGTTGTTTCATGCAGTTCTGAACAGGATAATGTTAGGAGATATATTGAAATAGGGGTCCGAAAATGAGACAATTGATGATAACTGCACTATTGCACATTTAAATACTTTCTTAGTAAATAGAGACCAAATTGAGTAAATATACAACATTTTTACTTTCAGTTTCATGGACTAGTACGTCCTCTGCAGTTTTCTAGACATATAACCAGACTACAGAAAACCACTGACTCACGATGCAATAAGATGCTCTGTTAGTAGTACATTTACCAGTAGCTAGTAATTGAGTCATCGAGAACAGAGGTTTGATTGTGGCTATATTAAGGATATGCAAAGTTATTCCTTTAGTGAACTCTTGCATTCATTTAAATTCAGAAATATTATTCTTGGTCTGTTCTATGATTTTGTTCAGTAACATCCACCGTAGATATGAAACATTATTTCTGTTTCATTGCCAATTTTTACACATCTGGGTTGATGTGTACTAAAATTCCACAAGTTGGTTGGATGTCATAGACTTTTAGATTTTTGTCTTCAAAATATTGGGCCTTGGTGAGGTTTTTAACCCCTTAAGGACACAACTTCTGGAATAAAAGGGAATCATGATGGAATATTGCCGCCATGTGTCATTAAGGGGTTAAATTAAATTAAATTACTAATTTTTTTACGTGCACAGATACATCATAGGTATTTGCAAAAGCAGTAGAGTGGCAATCAGAGTACAGGAAAACATCATTCAGATAACACATGATATATTGCACATTTTTGTTTTTGTTTATAATGGCAGAATAGCTCAGTGCTGGTAGGTAAAGCTAAAAACATAAACTCTGTGATAAAGTATGACCCTGTTGTAGATTCCACTAAGATTAAAATTGAAAATTATGAACGTGCTTATAAGTAGATAGATGGTAAAATAAAACCACTGGGGTCCACTGATAATTATTAAGATCACTTAGGGAAGTCACTTGAGGGCTACAGCTTATTCAAAGATGTAAAGAAAAACAATTTAACATACATGAGCACCAAGCTTTACATACTGGCCCCTCAGCCCATCCACACCTCCGGCTTGTCTTAGTGTGTGTGAAGCCGAGTCCCTGCATACTGACAAGTCCACCACAAGTCGCCCCCGGTCGGCTTACGAAAGCTCTGTGGACCTGTGTCAAAGTCTCTGGAACTAGACACACCGCACGGGTGTATGGATATCTGGGTGGTTGCGGCCAGTGAGCTGGAGCTGCTGCTCGAGTCTGTGGTGGGACCGGTGAGGCTGGAGTGGCCGTGCGACATGCCATACGAGTCCAGAAGTCTTGGCACAACATGTCAAATCTGGCCTCAAAACTTTTTACCCTATCTAGACTCTCATGGTCTGCTTCACTCAGGATGGGTTTCAGCACAGCAGCCATCTTTGATTCGCCACGCGGTTGAGATTGTGCTTGCCACTGCAGAGTATTCAGGATAACCCCCACCGGTCCAAAGGGGGGAGGTAATTGGGTTCTAGAAGATTCACTTCAGGAGGCTCTGTCCGAAGCGGGAGATCGGCTGCCTCTCCCTGCTAACAGGCCTGCAATCCTAGGAGGCCTCAGGGCTGGATAGTGTGATAAGCTTGCAAATGTTATCTTGGTACCTTTTGTGTCCCTTCTGTTAAAGGTGTCTTCTATGCGGTTTGCAGCTGTATTTTTGTAGTTTTAGCTGAAATATAGCACATTCTAGCAGGAGCTCATATGAAGCACGCCTGGTCAACTTGTGAGCAAGGCCCCGCCCCCGAGCTTTGGTGAGTTTTATTGCTCTGTATTACAGAAACGATGCAAATAGGTGACATTTTACAGAAGGCCAGTTTTCTAAAAGGGTTACTCCATCCATCATGACCACTTCTGCATTTAAAAGTGGTCACAGTGGTAGGGCTGTGTGGCAAAAGTAACCTCGCTACTTGTACTTGGAGTGGCCTATTTGCCAGCCTCCTGCCCACAGACTATGGGCCCTGTAGGGAAACCTGTACAAGACTACAGAACTTGACTGACTGTTAGCACTGATTTCCCTGGAACTGTTTTGGGCATAGGACCATGTGCACGGTCAGTCAAAACTATGACTTCCAGGAAATTCCTGAACCCCTGAACCAATCTGGGTGATTTTTGGATATGTTGTTCACCCAGATCAGGGGCTATAAGGGGATGTAACTGTTATGGGGTTTCATAAAATTGTATGTTTTTCTGTGGAGATAATTGGGTAAGATTAGTACAGTTCCTGATTTAATTATCTCCCAAGCACAGAGGAGGGATTCTATTGTTTGTGTATGGGAGTGTCTCACTGTATGACTCTGTTTTTATTGGTTTATTCACTGTGCCCAACAAAGGTCCACCTGGTTGTCACCCTTGTTGGGAAACTTGCATAAAAGGCCAGTGTGCCTCCATTAAAATTCTGTTCCTGCTTACCCTCAATATAGAGTCTCATCTCATGTGTGGGGGAATTGCTATATCACTATACTCCCCAGGAATTATAATCACTAGCTCTTATAAGAGCTGTTCCTGCTACGCTCTCTGGGAGTAGGAGAGGTCTGCCCACTGGAAACTGGATCCCGGTCTTGGGTCCAGGGTGGGTAAAGGACGGCGAGACCCTGGCGCCGCTGGATCGCTGGAAGTGGGGTCTGCAGTGCTTATGGTGTCTGGTGGAGTGCTGGAATTCCTTGGTGAGCACTAGGAATCGATTGGCGGAGGTACTCGTTCGGAGTGCCAGGCGGTCCATCACAGACTGTGTATGTGCAGCATTTCTGCCTCGGATAATGGCACTTTTGTGTTGGGGGCAAGTTGTGCACCCGGCACACCTGACTAAAGAAGCCCAGATTAAATTTTCTTGCTGCCTAATGTATTCTGTGCAAAAAAATATGCCTGTCGTCAGTGTGCCTGCAAGGGGAAATTGAATATCCCCTCCGTCCCTCCATGCATTCCCTCCCAGTCCTCCCCTAATCTTTCTGCTTTGTGATTTATTTATTTTTATATTGAACTAAAGCTATCCATTTCCTTTCCATCAAAAGCATTTGATTGGACAGCAGGGGAGGCTGTAAAGTCAGAGGAAGCGTGGAGAGGAGCTCCAGAAGCTTCGCCTGGCGCTGAAATCAAGGTACGTTTACAGCCTAATTTGCTACTTTATAATGTGGGGGAAGTCTCATAATGCCCAAATGGTCATTTTAAAGTAAAATGGCAGGATATTAAAGGGGGTTAGAGTCACCCTTTAAATCTGGACATATCGTAACATACCACTAAAATGTCAAATGAAAGAGGTCCACTGACACCCAAACAGATGCCCCCCTTCGTCTAACATTCTGTTATTTAACACTGGGCGCCAGAGAGCTGAGCCTCTCTCCATTTAGCATTTTGAGAAATAGCCATTTTTTTCCTCTAAACAGTAATAGTGGTAGATATCAAGTTTTTCAGTTTTCTGTCAAATGTGAAACTTATTTTAAAACAGTAATAAGTAAATCTGTGTAAATTACAGCTTGGTAGGGTATCAATCCAGAAAACTGGGAAAATATACCAATATGAAAAATGCCAAAAGCTTTGTCATGGAGATAGATAACAAAACAAATCCATTTGCATGCTGTCAGCATACATTTGATAATTAAGTTCATGCCTGCATAAACAAGAACTATGTTGAGCACTGGCATCTTGCACGTTAAAAAATGGATCACAGATATGTTGAGGAAATTACTTTAAAATAAGTGTTGCTGCTGCAAAACTACTGCCAAGCAGGAAGTATAGGATATTTCTTGCACACCATCTGTTTTGGGCTTTGACAGTACTGATACCGAGCCAGTTTGCCTGACCATCATAAGATTTGGAGATGGTAACTACCAAAGTCCCTTTCACAAGATTAGAGTAAGGATTATTTTTGCTTCTTAAAAGCCTGTTTTTCAGTAAGCAAAATATAATATTATTTTCATGATTTTTGGATTATGTAATAACTGCATTTAGAATTGAATAGTTTGATGATTAATTTCCCAATAAATAACCCATGAGCATTCTATTTGAAGCATTTCATTTACCATTAACAAGACGTTTACATAGGTCTTCTAGAATGGTATAGAGCAGTGCTCATCAACCCTCTCCTTAAGGCACACCTAACAGTCCAAGATTTAGGGATTACCCAGGTGTGTCTAAGGTGTTTAGAAAATGGGGGAAAAAACAATTAGAGTCTAAGGTGTTTTTAGTTTTTTAAACACTTTAAATACACCCGGGTAATCTTGGACTGTAAGGTGTGCCTTGACACGGCAAAGTCATAAAGTAGAGAACTAATCGTGCAAAGCTCCTACTGTTCGGTCTACTTCTTAAACAGTGACCAAATTTTCCAGTTATTTTCCAAGGCATGGTCATGTTTTTTACTTCTTTAACCTGCAATGATGACATCCAAAGAGCTTTAAATTCAGGTTACACCAGCCCCTATATACCATATATGGAAAAAATTATTGGGACGACTGACGATTATACCAACAGGGGTTTTTATGACATAACATCTAAATACATAGACATTAATATATAGTAGGTTACTTTTTTACAGCTATAACAGCTTCCACTCTTCTTGGAAGGCTTTCCGGAAGATTTTGGAGAGTTTTTGTGGGAATTTCTGCCCATTCATCCACTTGAGCATTTATAAGGCCAGGCACTTATGTTGGAGGAGAAAGCCTGGGTCGCAATCTCTGTTCCAGTTCATCCTACAGGTGTTTGATAAGGTTGAGGGCCTGTTGGGTTTTTTCCACACCAAACTTATACAGCCATATCTTTATGGACCTTGCTTTGTGCACTGTGGTACAGTCATGCTTGAATAGAAAAGGGCCTGACTTACCCAAACTGTTACCAAGTTGGAAGCATAACATTGGTCAAAATGCTTTGGTATGCTGAAGTATTAAGATTTCCCTTCAATGGAAAAAGGGGCCTAGCCCAACCACTGGAAAGACAACTCAATACCATTATTCCTCTTACACCAAACATTACAGTTGGCACAATGCAGTCAGGAAGGTAATGTTCTCCTGACATTCGCCAATCAGACTTCCAAACAGAGAAGCGTGATTTGTCACTCAGAACATGTTTCCACTGCTCTAGAGTTCCTACATAGTTCCTCTTTCCATTAATACCACTTACATTTGATCGTGGAATATTTAATAAGGCCAAAATTTCACAAACTGACTTTTTGCAAAGGTGGCATCCTATCACAGTACCATGCTTGAATTCACTGAGCTCTTCAGAACAATCCATTTTTTTCACAAATGCTTGTAAATGCAGACTACATGGCTAGGTGTTTGATTTTATACACCTGTGACAATGGGTCTGATTGAAACCTGAATTCAATAATTTAGAGGTGTTTCCCAATATTTTTGTCCAAATAATATACATGGTAACATGTAAAACATTAGAAGAAAAAAATCCTATTAAAAAATAAAGTCTATTATATATATTCACTGTACAATTACGTGTAAAGTAAGCAGATAAGTTTGCACATGTAAGACTCACTTTAAGAAAACTGAGACATTGAAAGAGCCAAAGCATTTGACGTATACCAGTAATAAAATGTAACCACACAAGGAAAAAAAATCAGATCAGTATTAGTCAGTGAAAAGTTCTTCAATATTTAATTGCAAGGACTGTCGCTTTGATGTGGCTGCACAGAACACACAAGAGTGTGGGCTTCAGATCAAATCTACAAGTGTGCGTTCTTTGGAATGCTCCCAATATATCCTCGAATATCAGAAAACAAGAAAAGTTGAGAAAATAAGTAAATTTGAGGATAGAGAACAATCTTGACTTTACAATTAAAGGCACACTCATGCCAGAGTTTAAAAAGGGCAATTCCTCCTAAAGCATTTGAGTTTATATTGAAAATGAAATATAAATTGTTCAGATAATCCTTGATGATGATTAAATTGAATCTCGCTTCTCCGCAGCAGATAGTCTATTGGCATTTGTCCATAACATCTGCGGAAAATCTAAGGGTCGAGGATTAAATTCCTGGCAATGGTGACTCATCTTTTTTTTTTTCTGCTGCAGTAGTCAGTTTTGTTATTTATTTATTTAACTTCATAATACACTGTCATTCTGATATCCCTCTATGTAAAAGATATGCACTTGCATAACTTCTTGGTTTTCCAATCATTCCGTATGTCCTAAAAGAAGAGTAGAATATATTTGCCTTCTTGTAATCTAAGCAATCATTTGAAAAAATGAGTGAGAGCCATGATTAACATTTATGAATGCTGAAACATTACACCCACATCCCACAGTAAAACTACACCAGTCATTTGTAATGAAGCTAGTCTCTATTTTGTTCATCCAATCTTCCACAAGTAATGTTGAAGGACATTGCTTCTTGTCCTTCAACATTCTATTTCCTGACTTGTTGTCCTTTCAGTTATCACTTCAATCTGTTTCTAGGTTATTTCCAACTTTCAACCTCTACAACCCTTTCTGTCTATTGAACTTCTCTAGCCTTGCCCCTACCCTCTCTCCCGCCTTCCTCCTTCTGTTCCAGTTCAGTAGCCCACTCATACTTACACGTTATTCATTAAATTACCTGGGGTGTTAAATGAGTCAATGTAAGATCCATTTTTAGATTATATTATGATCTAAATTTAAATAACTTGCTTAGATTAGACCATACCTCGCAATGCTGTCCAATATAAATATTGTGGGGTACGGCATGACAAAAATTGGCATATCAGTCACACTATCCGCATAACTGGTAACACTATGGTGTTAAGTTCATACAAAATAGGGAAGGTCCTAGCCAAACAGGACAGACTGATATGCATACACACCAGGCAGATTGAAAGCCAGTGGGTCATGCATGATGCACAAACGCATCATTAGATTGAATTAGAACTGTCCTGCCAAACCTAAAAAGAGTGGGAGATACGGAACAAAATTATATTTAATTTACAGAAACCAAATTAATAAACACATTTATTGTAGTGTAAATACTGTGTGCTTTTGATTCACTCAAACAGCAAATTTTGATTTTTAAAATTAAGTGGACTGGGTGCCCTGTCCCTGTAGTTTTATCCCTGCAGTGTAAATCATTACCATTCTGCAGGAATGGAAATGTTTACATTGCAGGGTTTAAATGCATTAAGTGGCTGTCACTCAGAGAGTGCACTCAACCACCATCAATAGTATTAATCTGCATTAGAGGCACTCAACCACCATTGACAGTGCCAGACTGCATGAGAGGCACTCATCCACCATTGACAATGCCAGACTGCGTTAGAGGCACTCAACCACCATTGACAGTGCAAGACTGCATGAGAGGTACTCAATCACCATTGACGGTACCAGACTGCATTAGAAGCCCTCAATCACCATTGACAGTGCGAGACTTCATGAGAGGCACTCAATCACCATTGACAGTGCCAGACGGCATTAGAGGCACTCAACCACCATTGACAGTGCCAGACTGCATGAGAGGTACTCAACCACCATTGACAGTGCCAGACTGCATGAGAGGTACTCAATCACCATTGATGGTACCAGACTGCATTAGAGGCCCTCAACCACCATTGATAGTGCCAGACTGCATTAGAGGCACTCAATCACCATTGACAGTGCCAGACGGCATTAGAGGCACTCAATCACCATTGACGGTACCAGACTGCATTAGAGGCCCTCAACCACCATTGACAGTGCCAGACTGCATGAGAGGTACTCAACCACCATTGACAGTGCCAGGCTGCATTAGAGGCACTCAACCACCATTGACAGTGTCAGACTGCATTAGAGGCACTCAACCACCATCGACAGTACCAGACTGCATAGATGCATGGGAGAAATGACAAAGATCTGTAGAGCACAAGCAGGTATCTAAGCTCCCCTGTTGTTACATGGTGAGGCAATTCCCATCAGAATATAAATGAAACTTGAATGCTGAAGACATGACTCAGACATAGTTTAGTTATATGATAGTTATAGTTTGCCTTTTCTGATGGCAGCTCTCTGCATTACAATTCAATGTGCACAACTACAGTAATCATGCTTTTAATATTGAATATACTATAAATTGCCAAATCATTTAAATTTGATTTATTCATCAACGTAACACCCAGTTTATATTAGTTTATACATTCCAATTCATTATTACAAAATCCAAATGTAAAATAAGGGCATTTCTACTAGTCTACTGGGGGTATAACTGTACAAGATCCAGGATAAACATTTAGCACTGCCTTTAATATTTTTGCTGTTTGTTTAGAAAAGCATTCCAATGTGCAATTCACAATGCTTTCCTATGGACGCTGGTGTCTTCTCACTGTGAAAATCACAGTGAGAAGTGCGGAAGCCCTCTAGCGGCTGTCAATGAGACAGCCACTAGAGGCTGGATTAACCCTAATATAAACATAGCAGTTTCTCTGATGCTATGTTTATTAAACTGCTATGTTTATTTAAAAAAGGGTTAACCCTAGCTGGACCTGGCACCCAGACCACTTCATTAAGCTGGAGTGATCTGGGTGCCTATAGTGGTCCTTTAACCACCTCATAAACAGACTTCACATTTAAGACCAGAGAAGCTAAAGCGAACGCATAGCTGACTTTGAAAGATTTTCTTTTTAAACATCAGCTATTTGCACCTTTAATTTGAAATTCCCTTTTGCATTCGCTCTGAACCTTTCATTCCCACCTTGAATAAAACCCTGTTAGTGTACAAAATATTTTTGTTGTGAATTTTCTTTATGCAATGTCTTCACACCATTAATGGTCCAGCAGAAGGATAAATGTGCCATAAATGTGCCAATTCTCCGAAATTTCTTTTGACGGAACATTTTACCTGTACAAAGAGCCGTCCTTGTAAAAGGTAACAATGTCAGAACCGACAATTATTTTTTGTATCTGCAATCATATTAATTTAAAGAAGTAGATTTTTACAGATTTCTGCAGCCTAAATTTGTCTGGTAATTGTCAATGTGTTCTACTGTCCAGAAAGTATGTATGTGCATTATATTTAAAAAACACTACAGGATGTAAAGGTTATATTTTAAAGGTTGTGAAGTGCAGCCAGTGCCATTTTACACATGCATTGTAAGAGGGCATGCAGTACATATGGATACTTTGAAACAAATCGTTCTGGACCACAGACCTTACCATTTAAGTGCTTCTCAAGGTTTTCTCCGTTGTAATTATAGAAATACAATGCATCAACCTGTTTTGAAATGACACAGTTCTAAGGAAAAACCGGATCAGATATCTCAGACAGGAACTTCACGCTTAGAGCCTCGAGCTCCACAGTATTTATTTTCCAACACTATGGGGATCTGTCTAGTCTAAAATATTTCCCAAACTCTTGACTTATCATGCCCCACTTTCTCAACGAGAATGCTGTTCATACCATTTGTCTCAGAGACTGACTACTGTGCTGTCCATGAGTCTATTTCAACATTTGTTTTGTTGTCCTTTGACATAACACCTGCCACTGTTTGACGTTGACGTTAACTCTGTAATTGATGATTTGACTTGATTTGATGCATAGTAACAACCATAATATCAAACCTAGCACACACAAAACAATTCTTAATAACCATATACTCGTATGAATAATGTCTGCTTTTATTTACTGAAACATTTACTCCATGGATACCTTAGTAATTTTGTAAATAATACACATCAGCTGTGCCCACAGTCCACTGGAATCGACATAATTCAAGTCAGCATTTGGCTAAATTTAAAGCTGTCTAAATGCTAGTCTTATATGACTTCAGTGGATTATAAAAATGTTGTTATAAACATCTGACGTGGGAACCAAAGTTCAGTTTCATACAAAATTAAGCCCTTCCAGGAATTAAATAATATAGCAGCTAAATCTTCTAGGACCGTAATAGGCAACCTTTGGCACCCCAGATGTTTTGGACTACACCTCCCATGATGCTTTGCCAGCATTATGGGTGTAAGAGCATTATGGGGGATGTAGTCCACAACATCTGGAGTGCCAAAGGTTGTCTATACCTGTTCTAGGACATAGACATTTTCTACACTTTGTGGCCAGCAGGGAATTCTGCAAGGTTATTAACCAAACTGTTAAATTGTTCTAGTGCTTATAGAAGACTGTTCTAGAGCTATAAATTGAGACTCATTTTATATAGATGCACCGTCATATTGAGGAATAATTCCTACATGTCACTTTGCTTTCTGTGACTATATTACTATTTAAAAAAAAAAAAACAAGTACACAAGGCGCACTCTATGGGATGAACTATCATGGTTCTCCAGCCGTTATCAGACCTTAGGTTTCATCTTCCTGCGTATGCAAGAGCTAAAGCAATTTCCCAAATGGCAGCTGTACATTATATATTAGCACATTGTTATGTATTTATTTAGGTAAGAAAATATATAAAATGTATAAAATGTGTGTTATTGTATGGTGTATCCCTTTAATGACATTTAAGAGGTATATTATTTTGTTTGATTGCTAGACTGTAACACGCAGCAAAATAACAGATTAAAGGGACACTCCAACCACCATAAACACTACTGTGCACTGTAGTGGTTATGGAGCCACAGTTGCCTTGGTACCCTCCCAGGACATGTAGTCAAAACGTCTGCAAATAACTTACTGTGGTTCGCTGGCGCAGTCAGAGTATTCAGGAGTACTAGAAGCTCCTACATAGAGCTTTTATCATCAGACCACTCTAAGCCAATGAGCATAGCCCTGCACCACCAGGCTAGCTCAGAATAGAAAATTTCCAGTTCTCCTGGAGGAGGTGACCTGTGCCTATGCAATTTGTCAAACCATTAGCAAACAATTAGACTACTACATTTTGGAGGGTGCCAGGGCACTCATGGCACTATAATCACTACAGGCAGCTTGGAGATGTGTGCCATTGCTCTCACATAGAAATAATTATAGTCACTCACATTGAAACTGTACACACTTTCACTAACACTGCTTTGCACAAATATTCGAAGCCATATGTGGCTTTTATTGGACCAAGGGAAACACAAGGTATTTACTAAAGCGAGAATTCTAAGCGAATTTCAACGTTAAAGGACCACTATAAGCACCCAGACCACTTCAGCTCAATGAAGTAGTCTGGGTGCCAGGTCTCTCTAGTGTTAACCCTGCAGCTGTAAGCATAGCAGTTTCAGAGAAACTGCTATGTTTACACTAGGGTTAATCCAGCCTCTAGTGGCTGTCTCACTGACAGCCGCTAGAGGCGCTTCCGCGCTTCTCACTGTGAAAATCACAGTGAGAAGACGCTGGACGTCCATAGGAAAGCATTGAGTAATGCTTTCCTATGGGCGGTTTGAATGCGCACGCAGCTCTTGCCGCGCATGCGCATTCGGCGCTGACATCGGCAGAAGGAGGAGAGTTCCCAGCGCCGAGGAAGCCCGGCGCTGGAGAAAGGTAAGTGTTTTAACCCCTTCAGCCCAGCGGGAGTGGGACCCTGAGGGTGGGGGGGGACCTAAAGACCCTATAGTGCCAGGAAAACGAGATTGTTTTCCTGTCACTATAGTGGTCCTTTAACCCCTTAAGGACACATGACATGTGTGACATGTGATGATTCCATTTTATTCCAGAAGTTTGGTCCTTAAGGGGTTAAGGTCAAAATAGTTAAACTAGAAAAGTCAGGTATACTTCCAGTTCCTGAGCTTTCCCATTAAGTGAATAAACCCCTGTGTGTCTTAAATTGTTTGTACGTCTCAGACTGTGTGAATCTGTGAGACTTTGTATGGGTCTGTCTATGTTTATTTCCCAGCTGCATTTTATTTGGCAGACCGCATTACGAAGAAGTTCTAATGATAAAATAGGTCTTGTTTTGTTATGCTCTCTTCTTACAGTTTTAGAATAGGCCGAATTGATTGGGATTAGCTTTTATGTAGATTAGACGTGTTGCAGAAAACAAAAAGGTGAGGTTCAAGGGAAAACAGGGAGCCCACAAAGGTTTTTGAACAAATTGTACAATAAAAATGTTAAGTCATATAATGGTAACTCACAACTACCCTAGTTAACTCCTAGAACAATATGCTGGTATGTGGCAGGAGCCTGACCAATTATTTGGACTACATATTATTAAACTGTCAGCAACGGTTATCTTAAAATGAAAAAGTAATATCCATCAGATTTTTTTTTGTATGGGGTCTTCTTTACTACCTAAGCAAAAAGACAACTTCAGCTCAGTACATCTCTTAACACCTTCCACTCCGCTAATCATTCACAAATTATCTGCTACTGTTTAACTCAGGGGTAATTAACCTTTGTTACTCCAGATTTTGTGGACTACAACTCTCCCGATGATTTGCCAGATTTATGGCTGTAAGAGCATTATGGGGGATGTAGTTTTCAACATCTGGAGTGCTCAAGCTTACCTACCCATGGTTTAACTGATCGGTCTCTCTTTATTTTCAAAATATAAACTCGGTTCTGTTCGAGTTCACTAGTACATATCCAAGAACAAGATACATCACAAAGTATTCTTTCAGGTAAACCACTTTCTAAATAAACGCACAGTGAAGACTACTGTTAACTTTGGAGCAGTTCGTCTACACGTCTTCAAGCCCTAATGTTATTGTTTTCGAATTTACAAACCAATGTTCTAGGTTCATTGGTGTTTGTAATTGGGATTGATACGCACCTTTGAGCTTTCCCTGAATACAGTTACTTTAGGCAGTGTTAGGGTTTTAATTTGTTCAGTGCAAATAACTGTCTGGGTGGTACTGAAAATGAACTGGTACACAAACTAAGAAATATATTTCTTACATCGGAAATGTCCCAAGCCAGGTCAATCTTCACCAATAGCAAACAGGAAGTTTAAATAAAGGGCAACTGACAACAATCTTCTGATCTTATTAACTTTGAAGGTTCAGAAGGTAAAGAGAACTGGAAAAACTCCAACAAGAACAAGTAGGAACATTTCCCACAGCTCCAGATTTAATATTTAAAGATGAAATGATCGTCATTGTCCTATTTTCTTTTCTTGATACCTTACCAAGGTGGATGGCTGCCAAGCCAATTTCCCACCATAACTTCATGGAAGATGACACTAGACAGGGTGGCCATGAACAGACAAGCAGAGGTAGCAAAACAATTTCTTAAAGTTTAACTGTCATATCTGGATTTATTTATTTTTCTTGCACATCTGTGGGCACCAGGGAACTGTCCTCACCAACAGCAATCACAGCTGCAACGTGATCACATTGTTATACAAGCTAAAGCTGTGGTGAATGGTGTCTGGACATTAGAAACATAGACAGAACACTTCAACAGCATTCATGCCACGTCTTCATTTCTAATAGACAGTCCATTTCATGGGCTGGTTTGCCTCCTTCTTAGTCTGGACCACCCCTTGTCAATGCCCCCTTTCCTGGTATGCCCACCCTGTGTTCAGATGTCAACCGTGCAAAGTTCCTACCTATATTTATGTAACATTTTTTCTTATTTTGGTAAAATATCCCATTAATACATCTTAACAGATTAGAAAGTTTTATCCACATATAGTATAGCTTACTATGCATACTGACTTTTAGCCAATCCACGAATTGCCAGGATTCCACCATATAACTTCAAGTATTACTCGGCTATGCTTCCATTTCATCTGATCTAGAATTTGTGAATTCCTGACAATTCACAGTTAAGTGAATTACCATGAAAATATAATCACTTGTTTCTTTCATTTACTTTTTATCATGCAATACAAATACAAAGCAATATCAAAAAAGAAAATGTATTTTACCCTTATATGGCTATATATCATGGTTTTAATTGTTGGATAGTTACTAAAAGCTGAACGTTTTAGGCCAAAATAGCTGAATTGGAAATATTCTCAACTTGGCTATTTTTCAAGTTATTCAGTCTAGAATTTAAAGTACGGTAGATCACTTTAAAGCCAACAAGTTATTATCAAGAAACACCAATCTCTCACATAAACAAACACACACACACACACACACTCTTGTATACACAATAACCAGCGATAACATTAACACCACTGACAGGTGAAGTGAATAACACTGATTATATAGTTACAATGGCACCTGTCAAGGGGTGGGATACATAAGGCAGTACGTGAACAGTGAGTTCTTGAATTCCATGTGTTGGAAGCAGGAAAAATGGGCAAGTGAAAAGGTTTGAGTGAATTTGACAAGGGTGATGGCTAGATGATTGGGTCAAGGCATTTCCAAGACAGCACGTCTTGTGGGGAGTTCACAGCAGCTAGTACCTACCAAAAATTGTGCAAGGAAGGGCAACCGATGAAAGGCATCAGGATCATGGGCACCCAAGGCTCATTAATGCAAGTGGGGAATGGCCATGACAGAAAGGTGTCAGAACACACTGTGCATCACAGTTTGCAGTGTAGCTGCAGACCAGTCAGAGGGCCCATGATTACCCCTGTCCACCACTGAAAGTGTCTTCAATGGGGACGTGACCATCAGAACTTGATCATGAAGCAATGAAAAAAGGTTGCCTGGTCTGATGAATCACGTTTTCTTATAGATCAGGTGGATAGCCAGGTATAATTGTGTCTTTTACCTGGGGAAGAGATGACAGCAAGATGCACTATTGGAAGAAGGCAGGAGCGTGGAGGTAGTGTTATGCTTTGGGCAATGTTCAGCTGGGAAACGTTGGGTCCTGGCATTTATGTAGATGTTACTTCGACATGTACCACCAACCTAGAGATTGTTGCAGACCACATACTCTCCTTCAAGGCTATGTTGTTCCCTGATGACAGTGGTTTCTTTCAGCAGGATAATGCACCCTGCCACACTGCAAAAATTGTTCTGGAATGGTTTGAGAAACATGACAAAGATTTCAAGGTGTTACCTTGGACTTCAAATTCCCCAGATTTCAATCAGATTGAGCATTCCTGAGAGTTGCTGGAGCAATAAATTTGAACTATCGAGGGCCCACCTTCCAACTCACACAACTTAAAGGATCTACTGCTAATGTCTTGGTTCCAGATACCACAGAACATGTTCAGAGGTCTTGTGGCGTCCATGCCTTGATGCATCAAGGAGGACCAACACAATATTAGGTAGGTGGTTTTAATGTTGTGGCTGACCAGTGTACATACTTAACAAAGTTCATAAGCAAGTGGAACAACATGCTAAAACACATATATTGACACACTGTGTAGCTGATGATATATCCACATGAGTACGCTTAGATGCGTGGAAGACATTAATGATAGCTTAAAGTGTCTTCCTTTTGAAGAAAAGAAAGCACTCAGGCTTCATAATGCCCCAGATTATACTTTATGCGCAATGAAATATTAAGATTGTTATGTAATTCCCATAAGAAATAAACAGTCACTTTAGCTTGTTTGACCTATGTAGCTCTGCAAAAATTGCCTGTTCATCATAGTCCATGCTTGGCTTCCTCTGTGATTTGTTTTCCAACCATGACGTGATCTTTAAAATGAAATATGAATTTATAGTCATAAAACTGACAGGACTAATAATATTTTTGAATGCTTACAAACTGTGACAAGGATAAAGATGTGAAGAAACAGAACATGCAAGGACACTCAATCATTCCAAGACTTGACGTACAACTGGTACAATCTATCCAACAGCTGAAACATTACAATCATACACCCAGAACAATCCCACAAACAGATAAAAAATCAGAAACGACGCCAGCACAAAGACAAAACAGCACAAATCTCACAACACCAGCAGGATAAACTGGCCAAATCGTACAATAAATTTAAAGACTGAAATAACATACTTTGTATCAGCACAGCAACAAATTACATAGAATAAATCCTAGAAACAGTAATAACTAAATAGGTAAAAACCAATATAAAATTAGCAACATATGAATGATGACAAGTTAAAACGATAACAGCTATATCAAATGTAGCTCCACCAAGGAGAGCTGTGAAACTAGAACCCAACGCAGCCAAAATGAAGCAACCAATAGCAGAGGTACGGTCAGCATGTACAGCTAATAACATGGTAAAAATTGCAGTACAATCAGTTCAGCAAGTGAAACTCTAAAATTAGTGATACTCTCAAACGATCCAGCTGTACAGTTAATGCAACCAGGGCTGTCATTATAACAGTTGAAACAGTACGTTTAGTGCACAAAGCGCCCGCTGCAGAATGCGATCAGTGTAGCGCACATCATCAACAGTACAGCACAGTGTATACATTACAGACAGTATATTAAAGTTACTGCAAAGAGCAGAATCACTACAATTAAAGATCTATAAAAGATAGACAGAAAGACGGATATGCAAAGAGAACAATAGAAAGACAGGCAAAAAACAGGAAAAACACAGGACAGATAACCATATGGGCAGACAGATGGGCTGTAAATATGTGTGTTCAAACATTCTATGTTAGGAATGCATAGTTGCAATCAGTTGGTATCTTACCAGTTTACTTGTTGCTTATACATTAATTTACCTAACTGGACAAGTTAAGTTTGTTGACTAATACAATATGAATGAAATATGAAGAGAGCATACATTAAATATAAAGAGAAGTCCTTGTTTGAAAATGTATCTTTTAATAATCATTTTCATTAACAGTATTAACTCTCTTTAAATTTATATTTGTGACTATCTCACAGAAATGATGGTCGATGGGAATCAGTAAAATTAATTAATAATTTTTAACAGCTAAACCAGCATACTTGGTGTTAGCATGCCAAATACTTAAACAATACTCGCTTCACTCTCCTCCACAGCTGAATCAGTACAAGCATGCCAGAGATCACACATTATAATTATTACACTCCTGCCAGCAAATTAACCAGTTCTAATCTCATAAGGGTATGTCAGCTACAGATGGGACATTTTAACTATCAAGCCAAGAGTGCATGCAATAAAGATGGGATGATCTTAGTAATAGCTCAAACAGTAGACAAAGCAATTATGTCAACAGTTGAAAAGTATAATCAACACAAAAACATCACAGTTCAAACAATCCAATCAGCGTTACAACCACAGCAATTGCTCATCTATCAAAGCTAGGAATGTTAAAATAATTAGTTCAAGCATCACTCTTGCCAAGAAAGAATATTTTTTTTAGTTTTTCCTAACTTTATGGTAACCAAAAACAAGGAAGGTCAAAATACCATAAGAAGAAAACAATATTAGCCCTTGACAGCACTAGTCATAACAAAAGGTGAGCTGCGCTTGTTGTTGGGGCACCAAACGAGGAACTGGCGTTCCCCCAGCATTTGTGTCCCACCACAATGCTGCGCACCCTCTCCCTCCCTGTGGTCACCTAGTCCCCCAGGTTCCATTCCAGGGAGACCATATTTTTTCAAAGGACTGTGTAGTGTTATGTTGGATGGCCGTATAACCATTAAGTAATTCTCTTTCATTCTCTGTACTGCTTCCAGCAGGGCAGGCATGCATAGGTTTGGGATAGGTTCAAATAAAGATGCTTGAAACGTTGAAGACCTGCCCTCTCTAGCCCTGCAATATCCCTTACATACATGCCTGGGGGGAAAGCTCTATTTAGGAGGAAAGAATTAGTGCAATTTTAAGATAAGTAACAAAAAAAATCTAAAGATAAAACACACATGTGATAAGTACAAACATTATTGAAGGATGGATGAATATAAAGCTGGATAAAAAAATAGAGAAAATAGAGAAAGACAGACTGCCTTTTCAAATCAATCAGTGTTATCATGGCCATAGGTAAAATTAAGATCAGTACAAATAATATTCTACAAAAAAACATGATTAAGTACAGTGTATCACACTTCCTTCAACTCAGACACAAGCCACAGGTTAATAATCGCAAATTTGTCTACCCTTTCCAAAGTTCAATAGTGAGTAAACATATAAATGAATTGTGATAACACCAAAGTCTTTGTTTGTTCTTTCCAACACATGAGAATTGGTGATAACCCTCAAAGGCTTATTCACTAAACTCCAAATTATTGTGAATGGAAATTCAAATCATAAAAGCAGGATGAATTAGCCAAACCGTGACAATAGTTGAGTTGGAATTTTTTTCCAGAATTATGTTTTTTTGCTTACATTTGACAATTCTGATTTCAGTTCACAACCAACTCAATAAAGACAAGTTTGAGAACTCTTAATTTTGGTACCACAGGTTGAAAAGCAAATGACGCAACATTAGGACTGTCCTTTAAAGGAACACTCTAAACACCATAACCACTACAGCCACTGCAGGGACTTTGGCTTTAATGGAGGAAAATAACCAGGTCTCAGTGGACCTCAGCTAAGTTGTAAAACCATTCCCAAAAGCATTGGTTCACAAAGCAATGCTCATGACGCACCAGCAATCCAGGATTTATGCATTTCCCTTGTTTTCGCCACAGTTATACTGAAAAAAACTGGACTATTGGTGGGCCATGAGGACGGGTTTGGAAACCACTGTCCAAAAGTTTTAACTCCTTACTCCGGGAGGGTGCCAGCGAATTTAATTGTGGAATCCTTTCTACCTTCTACTGTATGTCCACAAAACAAATAGTTGTTGTTTTACCAACCAAGATATATAATAGTGATGTTAAAATAGTAAGTTCTCATCAAAGACAGTTTAGTTAATATACCCCCACTTTTCGCCATCTGCTGTACTGGCAAAAGCACTGCAATATGTTACAAGGCTGAACTTGCTCACACATCACCCTGTTCTTTTGTGTTGCTCATAAAATTTATGAATTGTAATACATTTTATGTCATTAAATGGTCATTACACACAAAATTGCAATCTTATGAGTTGTTTAAAGTAACCCCCTTAAACATGGCTCACAGGAGAGCTATTTAAATGTTAGCTCAGTGTTTTGTCATGCAGTTGGGATTGCATACTTTTTGATATTGTCTCAAATCAGAAATGAATTATGTAACATTCTGTGATCCTTTTGGAGCTAAAGAGTTGCACAAGTGAGAGATAAAACAAAAAATATTTATGTAATTTTTTGGGCTCAAATGGGACCACAATATTAGGGGCAAACGAGAGAAACGTTTAAAAAATTTGAAGCAGCACGTTGACTTTAAACTCAAAATAATTTGCAAAATGAAATTGTTTATGCATTATTCACATATAAACTTTAAGGGACACGCTCAGCACCAAAACTAGTAAAACTCAGTGCAGTGGTTATGCTGCTATTTGTGTGTCGAAAAAGCAGCATACGGAATAAAATGCATATCTGTCCAATTTACTATATTGACTCACGATTTTAAATACTAGCGTAACTTGACAGAACCAGAGTAATAGATATCCCAATATAATTCTATAAACAGATGACGATAACAAACTACGCCAGTGTAACATGCAATCCTCTAGGAAACAAAAACTGTGAACAGTAACAGATCATTGTTGTTCGCAGTCCTGTTCAGTAATTTTAAGCTCTAGAGCAGGGGTAGGCAACCTTTGGCTAAGAGATGTTGTGGACTACACCTCTACTTTTGCTTTGCTTTGGACGTAAAAACCCAAGGGCAGAGTACAGAATAATTGATAGAGTCCTAACCTCACCATATGAGGAAAGGGATTTAGGGGTGATTATTTCTGATGACTTAAAGGTAGGCAGACAATGTAATAGAGCAGCAGGAAATGCTAGCAGAATGCTTGGTTGTATAGGGAGAGGTATTAGCAGTAGAAAGAGGGAAGTGCTCATGCCATTGTACAGAACACTGGTGAGACCTCACTTGGAGTATTGTACACAGTACTGGAGACCGTATCTTCAGAAGGATATTGATACCTTAGAGAGGGTTCAGAGAAGGGCTACTAAACTGGTTCATGGATTGCGGGATAAAACTTACCAGGAAAGGTTAAAGGATCTTAACATGTATAGCTTGGAGGAAAGACGAGACAGGGGGGATATGATAGAAACATTTAAATATATAAAGGGAATCAACACAGTAAAGGAGGAGACTATATTTAAAAGAAGAAAAACTACCACAACAAGAGGACATAGTCTTAAATTAGAGGGACAAAGGTTTAAAAATAATATCAGGAAGTATTACTTTACTGAGAGGGTAGTGGATGCATGGAATAGCCTTCCAGCTGAAGTGGTAGAGGTTAACACAGTAAAGGAGTTTATGCATGCGTGGGATAGGCATAAGGCTATCCTAACTATAAGATAAGGCTAGGGACTAATGAAAGTATTAAGAAAATTGGGCAGACTAGATGGGCCGAATGGTTCTTATCTGCTGTCACATTCTATGTTTCTATGTTTCTATGTTTGCCAACATTAAAGCTGTAAGAGCCCTTAAGGGAAATGTACACCAAAATATCTGAAGGTTGCCTACCCTGGCGAGGGACAGTCATATATTATTACAAAGCAAGTCAATGTACTCATCAGTGTTGAAGGTGAAAATAAGGAGTATGCAATAAAGGGCCATGGTTAAAATGATTCTGTTTTTGAAAAGATGTTGGGGAAAAAAAATATTAAAAAAAGGCAAACAAATTCACTAACTAAAATTCTAGTGACTGAAAAACATGCATTGGGAATCTACCATGTAAGCCAAGCATGTCAAACTCAAAGGCTAACATAGGCCAAATAAACAAGGTTTAAGTTTATGTGGGCCGCAAAAAAACAACAACAAAAAAGCGAATTTATTTTAAGAAACGCATTTGCATATAACCAATGTTTCAGTTCAACTACCTTGACATATTAAGAAAAGTTTGGTAATGGGACTGAAATGGTGAATGTATGCTGTTCCTTCCTCCATCCCAAATTTAATACACTGCATTTCCCCAATTTCACACTTCCCTCCTCCCTCCCAATTTAATACATCGCCCCTTTCCCTCACCCAAGTTAATACACTGCCCCCAATTTAACACACTGCCCCTCCCACCACTCTAATACCTCCTCCCTCAAATTAATACACTACCCTCCCCCAATTTAACACATTGCCCCCTCCCACAACTTGAAAACACTGTCCACTACCTCACCCCGTTTAGCACACTGCCCCCCCCCCACAACTCTAATACACTTCCTCCCTCAAATTAATACACTGCCCCCCTACCTGCCCCAATTTAATACACTGGCCACCCTCCCTGCCCCAATTTAATACACTGGCCACCCTCCCTGCCCCAATTTAATACACTGGTTCCCTCCCTCCCCCAATTTAATACACTGCCCCCCATCCCCAATTTAACACATTACACAGGAAGGTCCACCAAGCCCCTCTTTTCCTACCTTAAGATGAGTCGGCACTCCAGTTCCAGCCCTGCTCTTCTCTGCTCCAGCAGACCAGACGCTCCTCTGGCACTGCGAGCAGGAGAGAAAGGGGAGTAGCTGGCCTGCTCTGCAGACAGACAGCCACTCTGCCCTCTTGTGGCTGTGGGAGGGAAGACAAGAATCAGACAGGAAATATCTTTCCTGTCTTGCGGCTGGTGCAGCCACAGCACAAAGCGGCCCCAGGGAGGCAGGTCTCAATATTCATTGTGGGCCGCATGCGGCTCCTGGCCCACAAGCTTGACATGCTTGATGTAATCTGTCATCTAACCCAAAATTACACCCAGAAAAAGTCAACGTGATTAAAATGGTTTGCAGTTCACAACTCTTTAATGTTTAGTTAATAGGTCTTAAGAATAAAAAAATGTATGTGACCAGGACATATATCTATAAATCTCATTGAATATATGCAAAACACAAACAAACATATCTTCAACTGAGAAGGAAAATCTTGGCAAAAAAAGTCAGATTGCATATCTCCCAACCTTGCCTTTGACTCTGTGGAGATCGAGGACAAAGGTGGGTGGAAAAACGAGCACAGGGTAGACAAATGGATAGGCCCAGCCAAGAACGGAATCAGACAGTTTATAAAGTGGTCAGTTTGACAGAAATTGGGGGATTTTATCCTTGCATGATCACACATCTGGATGACTGACAGCATCTCAGGTAAGCCCCACTTTGGTCAGACCATGCATAAAAAACTCCTGAAGTGCTCTGTCTGGTGTCAGTGCCCTGTCACTATTTAGAACAGCACAGGCACATATAATGTTGGTCCTGTATTGTGCTTACTTTGGACAGTTCCCTGGTGTCCCCAGATGAGGAACACCAGGGAGCCGACCTGTGACCACAAGACAAGATCACAAAATTTGGACAGTTCAGCTGGTCTACCAGTGGTACCTTACACTCATCTTGCCTCCACAATATCTACACAGCTGTATCACCACTCTGCTGAAAAAGTGGGCCATGGGAAGGCACCATGTTACACATCTGTTGGGTTGCAAAAAGATATAGCCCTTTTGGAGAGAGGTAGCCGATATACTAAAGGCAATGTCAATTCCAAGCTTACCTTTCAAATATAAAAAAAAAAAAAATACCAGTTTCTCTAAACTCGTGACATGGAAAAGTAATGTTCCTGGAGGTATGACACGATACTAGATATCCCCTTAAGAGAGCTATCATATTTGGTCTTGACATGTTAATGACTAATTTATGTTTTATTGTTTGATTTTAGATTGGCAGGAACATTGCATTATATCTGATGTACTTGACACACTTCACATCTACACTGTATTGCCTACGTTATACTGTATGTATGTCTTAAAGTCTAAACCCTTCAATATACTACTGATGATGAAAGAAAATTGGGACCGAGACTTTTGAAAGGTCTGATACAGCAAGGCTAGTCTACAAGTAAACAATAGAATCCAGTGACAATATCCCTCTTTTCACATATTAGAGATGAGGGTTGTCTATGGACAAATGTAAGAATTGTAATGTTGAAACAGCCAATAACATTGAACATTGCAGATGAAATTCCATAAAGTCCATGGATGAAGTCTACAATTGTTATCCCTTCATATTTGTTCAATAAGAACATAATGTCACAACGTATAGACCAGGTTGATGTACAATAAACACATTTTCAGATCTGTGGATGTAGAATAGATATATGCACTTGAGTTAAAGGGACACTATAGTCACCAGAACAACTACAGCTTATTGAATTTGTTCTGGTGAGTAGAATAATTACCTATTAGAGAAAATGCAGTGTTTACATTACAGCCTAGTGATAACTTCACTGGCCACTCCTCAGATGGCTGTTAGAGATCCTTCCTGGGTCATGACTGGGTCATGGCTGCCTAAAATGCATCCAAACATTCAGTATCTCCTCCCTCTGCATGCAGACACTGAACTTTCCTCATAGAGATTCATTAATTCAATTCATCTCTATGAGGAGATGCTGATTGGCCAGGGCTGTGATTGAATAATGCTGGCTCTGCCCCTGATCTGCCTCTTTGTCAGTCTCAGCCAATCCTATGGAAGCATTGTGATTTGATCAGGCTACCACTTCTGATGATGTCAGCAGACTGCTTGTTTTTGTTTGAGGCAAACAGCATGCAGATCCACAGCTTCTGGCTTGAATCCAGTAAGATATTTACTATATTTATGGAGGCATGAGGGGCCCAGGGGGGCCAGAGGGTGGTTTTAACACTAAAGGGTCAGTAATACATGTTTGTGTTCCTGACCCTATAGTGATCCTTTAACAAACAGGTTTTTATAACTGTTTATATATTTTTGGGGAACTGGAATATTTAAATCCAGAAAACATTCATTCAAAACTTTAAAGTTGACTTTGCAAGTCATGGAATTCCAGACATTGTGTTCTCATACAATGCAGAAATTGTGAGATTTTAAAGATTTCATCAAAGGCTGGGAATTTAAAGATCATATTGCATCTTCGCGGGACTCAGTGAGTAATGGCAAAACAGAGTCTGCAGTAACAAAACAGTCAAGAGACATATATGCAACATACGAGATAGCAATTACTGATGCACATTCGGCTTCATTGAATCCGAATAACAGTCCAATCCAGTTTTAGTTTTCAAATCCAGCACATGATAAGCAGGTAAACTAAACTTTTTTGTTGATGAGCGAAAGTTAAAGATCAGATATGGATAACGAGATCGAGTGCTGGTAGAATACTTCAAAAGATCTAACATGGTGGGGACTGTTACAACAAACCTACAAAAGTTATTTCAAACCATCATAGTTTTGACAAAATATGCACAAAGTCAATGTATTAATACAATAATTGTTCAAGTTTTGCAAGCAGTTGGGTCAACTTTTGTGCTAAAAATCAACAATTAGATAATATTGTAGCCACCGAGGAAGAATAACAAAACCATCCAAAGAAGAGCCAGATGATGGTATACTAGTTATAACACCTGAACGAAATATTAAGATAATTAGAGCACTACACATATTGGAAATGTATTAAACAATGCCAAAATATTAGGAGGCAACACAGAAGTGAAATACTCATCTAGAACTCCTGGTATATTCTAAAAGCTTGCTATTCATAAGATTTTTTGCTCTGTATGTGAAAAGATGAGTTGGTGTTTTTCCTTGTGAGAAAAAGAGCACTTGAAATATGTGTTTTATAAGTATCCTGAGACTAACTGAGCAAGCAGAATCAGGAAACCTAATCACCTGATCTTGAATAATAAAGATCTCAATTTGAATATAATGTTGAACTACTGTGATATCACAATATATATGAGATATATAAACAGGGAGGGAAATATGCTGTATATATGTTACACGTAATCCATATAGATATTAAATAAAATATGTCTGGTACTGCAGTTACAATATCCAATTATAAATCCTCCTAAAGGAGCTGTGAGGCCCTTCTTTTAAATTGATGATGCAGAATGCAAAAGATCTGCTTGTTATCTTGGGTTGGTTTATCCGAGAACTTATGAACTGCCTTATGTGAGTAAAAAAGTGTTACTCACCTTTCCCAGTTTATGGCACACTAATCCGTACTAAAAATTAAAGTGCTTCTGCTGAACATAATTGAAATTGTGATATGAGCAATTATTCTCAACTCCTGTTTAGGGACACAAAATTAAGTTCCCATTGGTTGGCTAAGCTTTACATGGTATACTGTGGCATTATCGCTATACTTAAAGGAACTCTCCAGTGCCAGGAAAACATGTCCGTTTTCCTGGCACTGCAGGACCCCCTTTCCCTCCCACCCCCCATCCGATGTTGCTTACCTGAATCCAGCCCCGATGTCCCTCGGCCTTGGGTCAGGCTCCATTATACAATGCTTTCCTATGGGGATTCCGGCGATGCTGGAGGTTCTCATGCATAGAGTGAGGACGTCCAGCGTCGTTTAAAACACTTTTCGTGTTCAAAGAACCCTGAAGTCTTTCTAGTCTGCAAGACAGCCAATAGAGGAGGACTTAACCCTGCAAGGTAATCGTTGCAGTTTATAAAAACTGCAATAATTACACTTGCAGGGTGAAGGGTAGTGCGAGTTGGCACCCAGACCACTCCAATGGACAGAAGTGGTATGGGTTCCTGGAGTGTCCCTTTAATACAATGAATACTCTTAACTGTTTAAAGGGGCTCTATAGTCACCAAAACAACTTTAGCTTAATGAAGTAGTTTTTGTGTATAGGACATGCCTCTGAAGTATCACTGCTCAATTCACTTCTATTTAGGAGTTAAATCACTTTTGTTTCTGTCCATGCAGCCCTAGCTATACCTCTTCTCGCTGTGACTGACATAGCCTGCATGCAAACAAAATGGTTTCATTTACTTTAAAAGTTTTGTATCTCCTGCTCCATAAATTGAACTTTAATTACATACAGGAGGCCCCTGCAGGGTCTAGCAAGCTATTAACAGAGCAGGAGATAAAAAATTCTAAATTAAACAGAATTTGCAATAATGGAAACATTAGATGACTCTTTACAGGAAGTGTTTAGGGAGGCTGTGTAAATCACATGCAGATAAGTGTTCCTAGGGATGCATTAACATAGTGAGTTAACTCCTAAATGCAGAGAATTGAGCAGTGAGACAGCAGGGGCATGATCTATAAACCAAAATTGCTTCATTAAGGTAAAGTTGTTTTGGTGACTATAATGGATGGAAGATGTTTTCACTGGATGTGTTTAACTGAATTATAAAATCAAAGAATGGGTCTTTTAGTTAATTTTACAATTGGAAATTGGGTCACCAAGCTAGTGCTGTGTTTATAAATTTGCATCTCACTAAAAAAAAAAAAATAACCACTGGTTTAAAAGGATCATCTAACTGCAATTTAAATAATTTCTGCTTCAGTAAAACGTTATTCTCCATTCTAAGAAACATGCAGTGTGAGGTGGAAAAATACCAGTGTTACAGCTCAATGTCTCAACGTTGCATTCCATCTACAGAATTACTGATGGAAACTATGGAAAATGACACAATGGGGATTTCCTGTCTCACTGCGAGGATGGAAATTGAGCATCGACAGGGATGATGATAAAAAATAAATGGTAGTTGGATTAAAAATTAAGTGTCAAAAATCCTCCACCTGTATGCTGCTATTGAGTGTCTAAATATTTTCAGAATCAAAGGACGCAATAAAAAAAGATGGCCTCCCGCCAATGTTAAACATCGTTTAACCAAATAAGAAGAAGCAATTTTATGTCAATATCATCTTACAGTGTGAACTCTCGAGGGATTGAAATTCATTTTCAGTAGCTTTCCGCTAAATCCCTCCAATGAGTCACTAATTCCCCTATGCCAAGCAAAATATATCTATTGGAAAATAAGAGAATGGCTATAAAAATAAGCTTCAAATATGCAGATCAAAATAACTTCCTCATGAAGAGGCTGTTGATTAGAAATTTAACAGATGGGAAAAAATAGTTTTCAAATTAATCACTGATGCACGGTTTTTGAACTTTTTCTTTCCCTTTCTATCGGAGCTTCTTTGTTTTGTCTGATTGGATAATCAAGCCTTTGAAATCGGAACAATCTTATTTACACTTTCTACCCTTCATCTAGTCTTTTCTTCTTCTTCTTCATCTTCAGGGTCAAGTCCATACAAAGAAGAAACAGTCCATTTGCTTGTTATAAAACTTGCCATTCTCAAACACTTTATGTATATTCAGGGTCCTGTTTACAGTTTTCCCAGTTCTAGCCTATATACTTTTTTATTGAGGTATGATTTATTTTAATTTCACATAATTGTTTCTTATTGGTTAAATCATATTTTCCATGTGTCCTAGGCTTGCCTGGATGGTTCCTGAATTTGAGGTTCTGACCTAGTTTAGCTCTCTGGTGTCCATCAGCTAGGGACATCAGGGTAGTGCAAGCACATCATTAGATGTGCTTGTACTGTGCTCAGTAACCTCGAGTCCATCAGAAGGGTGCTTCAGGAGTGGACTGCACATGGCTTGCAATGAGTTGAGCTGGCCACAGAATCTGTCTCTCAGCCTGCTATGCACACATGGCAGGTTAAAACACCACTTTATGGGAAGGCTCACCAATTGTTGATGACGAATTCTGGTTTGCCGACCTGCCTATGCCACCTCTCATTGTTGGAAGGTATATCAAATATAATTTGTAAAACAAATTGTATTGTTATGTTTAACGGACAATGAAACAGTCACCATTAGAGAATGTTTCATAACTAAGAGGAAGAGGAGTTACAGAGACCATACCTCGTGATACCAAGTAGCATTTTGCATTACTGTAAATATACTCCTGGCTAGGATTTTAGCGGGTTGAGGCACAGTACATGGAATAAGAAATATGAAATTAATATAAAGAATAATACGGAATAAGTAAACCATTTATATAGTGAAAACATAAAACCAGCTCAATGTACAAATTTTATCTAGAAAGTCCGAGTTTCCCAATACAGTGGGACCTCGGTTTACGAATTTAATGCGTTCTCCGGGACGTTTGTTATTGCAAAACATTTGTAAACCGAAACACGTTGTCCTATAAGAATGCATTGAAAACCAATTCATCCGTTCTGGAGGTCAGAAAAAAGTCAAAATGAGCTGGCATGGAAAACAACCCACAATGCAGAACACACATTGTGTTTTTCCATTGGGATGATATATCAAAGGTTATAGCCCACAGAATAATACTGAAATAAGGATTACTGTATTATTTCAGGTGAGTTACAATAAAACCCCATTCGATAAATATACACCATAATGTGATAAGGATATTTTTCAAAATGTAATAGAGAAAAACTAAACATTAATGACAGAATATTTTCGTTGTATCTATACACATGTGGGTCAGTCCTTTAACATGGTTTTATCTTTAGGATCTTGAAAACACAGTTTCAAGTTCAGCTCCATCAACAACAATACACTGCATAATGAGGTAGACGACAAGCTCTTGGGACTTATGAACATCTAAAAACCATGAGACACACATACAGTTACATTTGTATTGTGTTTCTTTTTTCAAGGAGATTTAAAAACTATTTTAATCCAACTACCTCCGGAACTGTTTATGCCAATTACAACACTGTCAGGTATAGCATGGCATGTAATTTATCGCCGGAACCCACTTCCGGGTTCACGGCGCTCAGCCCCGCCCCTTTCACTGACGCGGTCCCTCCACGATACTTAGGAGGACCGCGCCAGATTCAAAGGGCTGGATTATTCGCACAGGTGCTGCATGAAGATCAGCTGCTCTACTTCTGATCCTACCTGCTCCACTTCTATACCTCGGCTAGTAAACGGATTTCTACCTTCTCCACTTCTCGACCTCGGCTTGTAAACGGATTTCTACCTTCTCCACTTCTCGACCTCGGCTTGTAAACGGATTTCTACCTTCTCCACTTCTCGACCTCGGCTTGTAAACGGATTTCTACCTTCTCCACTCCCAGACCTCGGCTTGTTAAAACAGACTTCCCCACTCTCCACTCCTAGTTCTCAGCTTGTTGAAACGGACTTCTAATTTCTCCTTCATTGGGTGAATTAACCCTTCCAGTGCCAGAACTGCCTTTAAGTTAAGTAATACTTTTACCAAACAAGTCAATTACTATTATTTATATTACACAGTATCTAAAACTCACTAAAGTGTCACTTTGTCTAATTATTCCTCTTTCTCATAAGGGATTGCTACAAAGCTTAAATTTACCTATATGGATATTTAAAGGTACAGTGACCATAATTTCATACCAATATAAAAGGAGGTGAACCTTATTGTTGTTGCAACCAAGAAATGCTGCAGTTGAGTTCCAATTAAAGTAATATTACAAAATAAGTATTACAGAATAATCCAGCCTTTTCAATGGAACCAGCAGATATTAACTCTCAAGTTTCTGCCCTAACCAATAGAGTGGATACGATTGCTCAAGGGTTACAGGAACTGCAAATTACAAATGAGAGAATATTAACCTATGTTAGAGACATTCAAGGTCATCTTCCTCATGCCGCTCTTCAATCGGCTGGTGATCCTGCTGTCTGTAATCCAGAAAAATTTCATGGAGATAGAACAAAGTACAGAGAGTTTTTGAATTCTTGCAAACTATTAATTGCTTTAAAACCTAGATCTTATCCCACCGAAAGATCCAAAGTCTGTTCAGTGATCTCTTTTTTAAGAGGTGAACCTATGGCATGGGCCCATTCCTTTTTGGAAAATGATGATCCCATATTGGATTCATTGGATGAGTTCTTTGAAGCTATGTCTTTATTATATGAAGATCCTTTTAAACAAACTACTGCTGATTTAACCATCAGAACATTACACCAAAAGAATAGACCTGTTGAAGATTATATTGCAGAATTCAAAAGATGGGCTACAGAAACCCAATGGAATGACATTACTTTACGCAATCAATTCCGTCTCGGATTATCTGAAGCTGTGAAAGATGAACTCTCTCGTACAGAACTTCCTCCTACCTTAAATGCATTGATTCAACTGTCTATCAGTATTGATAGACGTCTAAGAGAAAGAAAAGCTGAAAGGGTTCTTACTAATTCTACCTGGAGAAAACCTTTCACTACTCTAAAACTACCTGAAAAAATTCCTCCACAAACTGAACCTATGGAAGTAGGTATAATAAAAAGTCCTCTTACTTCTGAAGAAAGAATAAGAAGGAGACAACTAAACTTATGTATGTATTGTGCTTCGAATGAACATCTAATTTCCGAATGTCCTCTACTGAAACATTCAAAAGGTGGTAAGCTTCATTCATCTACCTCTATATTGAACGTTTTTCAAAAAAGAAAAGCATCTACTTATTTTTCTATATCTCTCATATTACAGTGGGATACAAAAAGAATCGTGACTGAGGCCATCATTGATTCTGGTGCTAATGGAACTTTTCTTGATTTTTCTTTTGTTTCAAAAAATAAAATTCCTTGTGTTCAAAAAACCAATTTTATTCCAATCAGAGTTATTGACGGTTCATTTATATCCTCAGGACCCATCAAAGATGAAACAATCCCTCTAAGAATGATTACCAACAACGTACATTTCGAATTCATTACATTTGATATTATTAAATCTCCACTTTATCCCGTCATTCTAGGAATTAATTGGTTAAAAAACCATGATCCTTTAATTAAGTGGTCTCCCTTCTCCATCTCCTTTGCTTCTGATTTCTGTAAAAAAACGTGCTTACAACACATTCCTATTCTCCAAACTACTGTAGAACCAGTTATACCTCCATTCTACTCCGATTTTGCAGATGTCTTTTGTAAAAAAGAAGCGGAAACACTTCCTCCTCATCGGGTATATGATTGCCCAATAGATCTCATACCCGGAGCTCCTATTCCTTATGGTCATATTTATCCACTCTCTGAAAAGGAGTTAGAAATTTTAAAAGAATATCTTAATGAAAATTTACGCAAAGGGTTCATCAGACCCTCGACCTCTCCTGCTGCTTCTAGTATCTTCTTTGTGAAGAATAAAGACCAAACCATCCGTCCTATTATAGATTACAGAGCCTTAAATAAAATAACTATTAAAAATCGTTATCCTCTTCCACTAATAAATGAATTAATTGAAAGGTTAAGAACTGCAACTATATTCACTAAACTCGACCTTCGAGGCGCATATAACCTCATTAGAATAAAACAGGATGATGAATGGAAAACCGCCTTCCGGACAAGATATGGTCTCTACGAATATCTAGTGATGCCTTTCGGGCTCTGTAATGCCCCTGCAACGTTTCAACATTTTATCAATGATATCTTTAGAGATCTTCTGGATGTATGTGTTATTATCTACTTAGATGATATCTTAATATATTCTAACAATTTGGATGAACATAGGAAACATGTTAGATGGGTTCTATCTAGACTGAGAACTCATAAATTATACGCTAAACCAGAAAAATGCCTTTTTGAGGTTACTGAATTCTCTTTTCTAGGATACATTATTTCACCTCATTCTTTGAAGATGGATAATTCCAAAATCAAATGTATTATTGATTGGCCTGCTCCTACTACTACAAAAGAATTACAACGTTTTCTTGGATTTGCAAACTTCTATAGAAAATTTATTAGAAACTATTCGGATGTATCACATCCTCTTAACCTCCTCAACAGTAGTAAACGTCCTTTTAATTGGAATAAAGATGCTCAAACAGCCTTCGACGAATTAAAAAAAAGATTTACAACTGCACCTATTCTACAACTACCTAATCCAACATTCCTATATGTTCTTGAAGTTGATGCATCAGATGCAGCCATCGGAGCAGTTCTTTCTCAACAAAAGACTCCACAAGATCCACTTCATCCAGTTGCCTTTTTTTCAAGATCCTTGAGCTCTGCTGAAAAAAATTATCCTATTGGTGAAAAAGAATTATTAAGTGTTAAAGCTGCCTTCGAAAATTGGCGTCATCTTCTGGAAGATACAAAACAACCTATAATAGTTTATACTGACCATAAAAATCTTGAATATCTCTATACTAACAAAACCCTTACAGCTAGACAAGTTAGATGGAACCTATTCTTTAACCGATTTAACTTCCAATTAATATACAGACCTGGAAATAGAAATAAAAAGGCTGACGCTCTTTCTCGAATTCCTTCTAAAACTACTACTGATGATTATCCTTCTACCAAAATAATAGGAATCCTCTCTTCTCTTCATGATGACATAAAGAATTTGAATCAGAAGGATCTTGAACTTCCCAAAACACCTATACTAACAAAAAAGGATGGTCTATTTTATTTTAAAAATAGAATTTATATTCCTCCCATTCTTAGGAATAAATTACTTAAGATGGTTCATGATTCCCCCCTAGCTGGACATCCTGGAATAAAGAAAACACTTGAACTAACTTCACGATATTATTGGTGGCCTCGCCAGGATAGAACCATTGCATTATATGTCAAAACATGTCCTATCTGTCAAAGGTCTAAACCAGAACATAATCAACCTTTTGGATTACTACTTAACTTACCTATTCCAGAAAAACCTTGGCAATCCATTTCTATGGATTTTATCGTTGATCTTCCACCTTCTCAACATTTCACCACTATTCTTGTCGTTGTGGATCGCTTCACAAAAATGTCCCATTTCATTTCCTTAAAAAAATTACCCTCCTCTGTAGAATTGTCTAAGGTCTTTATTGACAATATTGTGAAACTTCATGGTCTTCCTGAAGAAATTATTTCTGATAGGGGGACACAATTTACCTCCAAATTCTGGAAAGAGATGTGTCTCTCCCTTCAAATTCAACGCAAACTCTCTTCCGCTTATCATCCCCAAACTAATGGGCAAACAGAAAGGGTTAACCAATGTTTGGAACAATATCTTCGATGTTATTGTTCATACCTCCAAGATGACTGGACCACATGGTTACCTATGGCCGAATTTTCTTACAATAATACCATTCATTCTAGTACGAAAATGACTCCTTTCTTCTCCAACTATGGTTTTCATCCGTCTTCATTCCCCATCCAAACCATTACTTCATCCAATCCTACTGTTACATCAAAAAATGAATTTATGTCTTCTCTATTTTTCAAATTACGGGAGAATCTTCAACTCGCCCAAAATAACCAGAAAAAGTTTTTTGACAATAATAGAAGAATTCCCCCTCCTTACAAGGTAGGGGATCTTGTCTGGCTCTCTTCAAGGAATATTACCACAAGCCGTCCTTCAAAGAAATTGAGCTCTCTTTTTCTTGGTCCCTTTCAAGTAATTACTATCATTAATGATAACGTTGTTAAACTAAAACTTCCTCCAAGTTTTAAACTTCATCCAGTATTCCATGTCTCCTTACTTAAACCACACATCCCTGATCCTTTTTATAGGGAAATAGTAACAACTCCTGAACCTATCATTGTCCAAGGTGAAGAAGAATATGAAATTCACAAAATTTTGGATTCTCGTGTCCACCGTGGCTCCTTACAATACCTTATCAGATGGAAAGGTTATGGAGTTGATGAAGACACTTGGGAAGATTCATCTAATGTACATGCTAGGAGGTTAGTTACTGCCTTTCACAAACGCTATCCCTCCAAACCGAAATAGTGCACCCAGAGGATGCCCCATGGGAAGGGGGTACTGTCAGGTATAGCATGGCATGTAATTTATCGCCGGAACCCACTTCCGGGTTCACGGCGCTCAGCCCCGCCCCTTTCTCTGACGCGGTCCCTCCACGATACTTAGGAGGACCGCGCCAGATTCAAAGGGCTGGATTATTCGCACAGGTGCTGCATGAAGATCAGCTGCTCTACTTCTGATCCTACCTGCTCCACTTCTATACCTCGGCTAGTAAACGGATTTCTACCTTCTCCACTTCTCGACCTCGGCTTGTAAACGGATTTCTACCTTCTCCACTTCTCGACCTCGGCTTGTAAACGGATTTCTACCTTCTCCACTCCTAGACCTCGGCTTGTAACTCTGAATTCTACCTTCTCCACTCCCAGACCTCGGCTTGTTAAAACAGACTTCCCCACTCTCCACTCCTAGTTCTCAGCTTGTTGAAACGGACTTCTAATTTCTCCTTCATTGGGTGAATTAACCCTTCCAGTGCCAGAACTGCCTTTAAGTTAAGTAATACTTTTACCAAACAAGTCAATTACTATTATTTATATTACACAGTATCTAAAACTCACTAAAGTGTCACTTTGTCTAATTATTCCTCTTTCTCATAAGGGATTGCTACAAAGCCTAAATTTACCTATATGGATATTTAAAGGTACAGTGACCATAATTTCATACCAATATAAAAGGAGGTGAACCTTATTGTTGTTGCAACCAAGAAATGCTGCAGTTGAGTTCCAATTAAAGTAATATTACAAAATAAGTATTACAAACACACTGTCATAACACTTCAAAACACACAAAAGAGAGTAAACTGTAGGACACTGCTAAGGCACAAGTCTGGTGGTGGGTTTAGTGGTAGGGTATTGTTAATGGTCAATGGCAGTTGGAGAGTGTGTTATGGAAACTTAGAGCCATGGGTCCGATTCCCCTGGTCAGTATCAAACAAATAAAAATAATTCAGTTTGGTAATACCAAAAATTGGTCACTTTACATGGAGATTTGGCTTGATTTCAACAGACAACTGAATTTCAAATGAATGACAGTAAAAATAGCTGATATAAAATCAAATTTGCCTTGTAGCAGAATGAGTTAAACATTACTAACATTAATTAAACAGACTTATTTTGATAACTGAAGCTTAATTTACCAACGTTCTGCATTTAGTGAACAGCCCTCTGAGTATTTCAGATAATAGTGATACATTTTGGTCTTCATTAGTTAATTAGTTAATAGTTCATTAAATAGTTTATTGTGGCATCACTGCCGTAACAATAGGAAAAGTCACCCGGAGAACTCTTGGGCCAACGATCCTGATGAGGGGATCAATGAATACAAGGCAAGGGCCCCCGTAAAGGCCTTGGGCCAAGACTTGCCGTATTATGGCAACGCGGAACCACAGGCTATCTACTGCGGACTATACCACACAATCTACGTTACTTTGCAGCGTGGAGGAGTGGACGGCGATCTGGCCTTGGCGGGTATATTGGAGGAGCAGTGCGGGTCCACTTTCGTGTCTGGGGCTGGTGGGGTGCCCCCCACAGTTTGATAGCAGACTGTACACATACTCACCAGGTCTACTTAAACAGGGTGTCGGCTGGCTTCTCTCTATTACCCTTGGAACGGCATGCAGGTAGACACAGAGCCCCTGCTACCCTATACCTACTGATCCATTCTGAATGCTCCCCCTGGAGGGAAACTTTGGTATGAAGTGGTACTAAAAACCTAGAGTTATGTAAATATGCATAGAGATTTGGGATAGTGCATAAGTCAATTTAACCCCAATAAAAACACAGATTGACACAAAAAACAAACTATGTAGAAAAGTCCAAAATGTGAATATTTACTATATTAGAATTTAAGAATGGACTTGTAAGATAATTGTTAAATTCAAGAATAGATCTCCAAGAATTGGTCATGCACGTAAGGTAAGTATGGTAAACGAGGTTAAGAAGCACTGATTTAGTAGATGGGCTGCAATGGGTTCAGGAGGAAACAAAAAATCTTGAAAATACAGACATCTGGCTAAGGATAAGTCATGGTCTAACTTGGGGAGAGAATGTAAGCAACATAAAAAAAACTAAATCCTAATGTTAAGAATATAAATAATGCTTTTCCAAGTAAATGTCTATTTTGTCTAATGTTTGTGATGTTTTTATCAGTATAAACATCTAGAAATGGCTTTGTACTTTTGCCAAATGAAATATAACAGGTTTCCAATGTTCTTTTTGACACAGCTGTGATGTTAGTCCTTTATAATGCCATGCAGATTGGAAGTGAATTCCAAGTATGTGCTTAACTTTAATTTGACACACTCTATTAAAAATCAGATACCAAACTTTAAGAAGATAAAGAAACATCAATGCGAAAAAGAATGGATTTTAGATTTACATTTTTTACAGAGCTATGTAAACCTTTAACTGTAAACATGCATATTTTTGGAATAAATAATGAATATAGTAAAAAAAAATTTTTTAACCAAATACAGATATTTCATAGTTTTTTTAGATTATCGGGAAGAATAAACATGGGTGGAGAAGTGTATTGGGTTTAAATGTTGAACCGGTCAAGATCAACAGAATAAACTTGAGCTATTTAACTAATTCTGATTCTGGCAAGCGGCTTATGAATACAAACAAAATGATATTTATTAAAATTGGAAGATTGATTTAAAAAAAAGAATACAAAAGAAAGAAAACGTGGGGATTGGGCAGTGAGTCTATGAGCGTACAACAATAATCATCTTATATCGCTGTTAGAGGGCTAGCCTAGTGCTCTCAGCATGTCACGATGCACCATAACCACTAAACAACTAACTGCTGACAGTTATCCACAACTCAATCTGCAACTAAGCAGTAGGTGGAAATTTATATTAAAGGACACTAAAGGCAGTTCATTTCATTGAAATGGTCTGGGTGTGGTGCCATTTTTCGCACTAGATGCACTTTCTCAATTCACACGACTCTGGACAACCTCACGCTTTGAATGAGGACATTTTTCAAAGAAGCAGAATTCCAAATAAATCTTGATTTCATAATTAACTTAGAGGTCATCTGTTATCTCAAATAAATGCCCTGCTAGACATAGGGTGATGGAGCTAGCAGTTCCACAACTGCTACTTGCTGAGAACTTAAACCATTGTTCTTTCTCACTGCACCATACATGTCTGCTCAAATCATACTAGAAAACAGATTTACTGGAAGCAAGATCCTATATAGGTCTCTACTTTTATGATATAATGTAAAAATAATTGTCTGGAATTTAGCCAACTTGTACTTTAAAGATTGCCACTATTTTAATGTTTTCTTACATGTCTATGTCAGGAAAAGCAGTCAAAATAAACGTCTAAAGCTGAGCTGAACTACAAATCCTACGAGTCCTAGGTGAACGTTTGCTCAATCAAAGCAATCACAAAAGTATAATCTTATATTTTTGTTGGCAGACGATGTTCGGTCCTAGGAAGCAGAGTTTTTCTAGGAAAGAAGTAACATAGGCCAAGGTAAATTAATTTATATATAAACAACATGAAATATCTTTAATAAAAATTGGATACAGAAACCATCTCTTTGATTCCAGCTGGTTTTCCAACTTCAATGCTGGTAGTTTTATAATTGCTATATTACATTTCTTGGTAATCACTTAAAACATTACTGTAACTTACACAAAAAGATGTAATACTAGCTTTCATTCCTTATTTGCTTAATTTCTAATATGCTTATTATATAAGGTAATATATATGTATACATTTATGTATATATATATTCAATATTGATTTATATATTCCAAAAATGTAGAACATGATATCAAATGAGCTTGAAATGAGCGTGAAAGATTTTGTTTGCCTGTGGTTAGATCGTGGTTCACGAAATGCAGTCTCGAGAGAGCACTCCGATTAGGAACTGGTTTGGCCTGGAGTCTCCAAGTTGGACATAGGGTCTTGGTGTAATCTTTTCTGCTCTTGGAAGTGGGGAATAGTTTTGCCCAACTCATTCAACGATATGTCATCTCCAGAGTGTTTTGGCCAATCTCATCCCTTTTAAAATTCAAGCCTGCTTTTCCTTAATATGTACAGTTGTGCTCAAAAGTTTGCATACCCAAGCACAAAGTGTGACATTGATTGTTTAAATATGACTGATCATGCAAAAACATGTAATTTATTGAAGGATAGTGATCACATGAGGTCATTTATTATCACATAGTTGTTTGGTTCCTTTTTAAATCATAATGATAACATAAATCACCCAAATGGCCCTAATCAAAAGTTTACATACCCTTGAAAGTTTGGCCTTGTAACAGACACACAAGGTGAAACACACCAGTTAAAATGGCAATTAAAGATTAATTTCCCACACCTGTGGCTTTTTATATTGCAATTAGAGTCGGTGTATAAATAGTCGATAAGTTTGTTAGCTCTCATATGGATGTACTGAGCAGGCTAGATACTGAGCCATGGGGAGCAGAGAAGAACCGCCAAAAGACCTGCATAACAAGGTAATGGAATTTTATAATGATGGAAAAGGATGTAAAAAGATATCCAAAGCCTTGAAAATGCCAATCAGTATTGTTCAATCATTTATTACAGGTCAGGTAGACCAACAAAGGTTTCAGCCACAACTGCCAGAAGAATTGCTTGAGATACAAAGAAACATAAAGCCTATACTTCTCACTGTGAAGTATAGTGGTGGCTCACTGATGTTTAGAGGGGGGTGAGAGGGTGTAAGCACGGGGAGCCTTGTGAAAATTAATGGCAAGATGAATGCAGCATGTTATCAGAAAATACTGGGAGACAATTTGCATTCTTCTGCATGAGGACTGCGCATGGGACACCTCTTGGACTTACCAGCATAACAATGACTCTTAGCACAAGGCCAAGTTGACCCTCCAGTAGTTACAGCAGAAAAAGGTGAAGGTTCTGGAGTGGCCATCACAGTCTCCTGACCTTAACATCATCGAGCCACTCTGGGTAAATCTCAAATGTGTGGTTCATGCAAGACGACCAAAGATTTTGCATGACCTGGAAGCATTTTGCCAAGACAAATGGGCAGCTATACCACTTGCAAGAATTAGAGGCCTCATAGACAACTATTACAAAAGACTGCATGTAGGCATTGATGCTACACAGTATTAAGAACTAAGGGCATGCAGACTTTTGAACAGGGGTCATTTCATTTTTTTCTTTTTCTGTTGCCATGTTTTGTTTTATAATTGTTCCATACTGTTATAACCTGCAGTTGACTATGAATCCCATAAGAAATAAAAGAAATGTGTTTTGCCTGCTTACTCATGTTTTCTTTAAAATTGGTACATATATTACCAATTCTCCAAGGGTATACAAACGTTTGAGCACAACTGTATGTAGCATAAGGAGGTGGGCACCTTTCTTCTCTCGGTTGATATCATCTCCACACAAATACAAACAATGCCCCACCTCAGTTCAATATATTTTATTATTTTTTAGTATGGACTTACAATTTGAGGAACATAAGTGGACATAAATGGTGCCTATTCCTATCTAGACATAAGTGGTGCTTATACACACACAACTTAATCTATGGCCGAAGGTAGGCAACCTACGGCACTCCAGATGTTGTGGATTACACCTCCCCTAATGCTTTGTCAGGAACACTGGAGGCACTTTAACAACTTCTTCTCACTGAAGTTGTTGCAATGTCATCAAAGCTGGACACCCTGTGCTTGTAAACATGGCTTCAAGCCACAGCTCCAGGCCCTCTGCGTATCAGAGTTGAGAACCTTACTTCCTGGCGCTCATACGATAACACATCACGATGTCACATGTGCATGCGTAGTGCTGCCACGGTAGGCTATAGAGAATCAGTGAATACAATAATTTTTTCTATGGATGAATTGTAGGTGCATCGCCATATGCTGCGCATGCACCTTTGTTCCCTCTACAAGGAGCATTGGATTGGCCAATCATCTTGCAGGCATGCCTCCAGGAAGACCTAAATCGTTCTGAAAGAGGAAGAGATAAGGAAACAAAAGGAGAAATGTAGGTTTGAGGTGACAGAATCACTTTAAATCAATATATATTGGTGCAGCCATAAAATGTACCCTTTTGCTGAATTTTCTAGTCTTTTTTGCTGCCTAGCAACACCTCTAGCTACAAGAACCATTTGGAGGTTGTAATTTCCGACAAAGATGGTCTTACTAAGTACAAACTGATAGGTGCCAAAACATTTGCACATGTCACTTTCACTGTTTTAGTTTTCCAATCAGATAAATTTGACATATAAATTGCAACTGTGCGCTAAAATATGCAGAAATATGTAGGTTTTTGTTTTTTTCCTGAAAAGGGGAATGTTAACTTTTCATTTAGAAAATCAACAAGACATATTATTTTCTCAAGGGTGCTCAAACTTTTGCATACATCTGGATATATCTACTGTATATGTTTCTGAACCGATTAGCGACAAGTGCTAAGGGAATTCTAAGACCAGCTCAAAGTTATTGAAAACACTGACTATGCAGTTGTTCAATGAGTATGATCATAAAGACAAGTGATTTTAATTAAAAAAAACTGTGTGGTCTCTGTCAGCTGCATATGTTGGCCTGAGGGCTCAATCAGCTATTAACCCCTTAAGGACACAACTTCAGAAATAAAAGGGAATCATGACGGAATATTTCCGTCATGTGTCCTTAAGGGGTTAATTATGTCAGTCCAAGGTACATGACTATGTGCAAAAAGTTTCATTCATTGACTTCAAATAATTTGCCAGGATTCGAGTAATTCAAATGTATTTCTCAGTATTTTAGACTTAGGGAAATGCAATGCATACTCATGCCAATAATCACTACAGGGCCTGCCAAGTGCTTCTTTAAATTATGTTTGCCAATGAAAAACTAAACAATGTGTTAAATCTGAATAAATCTGACAGTGGTTTAAATGATTACATTATGTCATTATTTTTTTGCAAAATTTTCCGCTCAATTTAGCAAACACGTTAAAAATTGAAGAAATTTAATCCGATGCATTAACCCTGTCCATCAGATCTAAAACTAAAGTGAACCACACAAGACCGTATAAGGTGTATTCCATTTTCTGTAGCCAAATTAAAACAACTTTTGAGACAGATTTTGTGGGGGCTTTACTGGTGAGCATCTCAAAGTGCACAGGTAACTTGGGCAAGTTTAGCACTCATTTTTGAAGTCATGAAAAATTAAAAATGGAACTTTCGCCTGGTAGAATGACAATGAAGGAAAACTCACTGCTGTTTTTTGGTTGACATCCTGGCAACCCTGAATGACTGACTGTTGCCATGTGAATTGTAATAACAAAATGTACACATTTCCAAACTCCTTCCTTGCCCAAATACTATACCACATTTAATGGCACAGATTTGTCCTCTTTCTATACAGCATACATTTTTGAAATTTCACTATTTTTATAGCATTCCCTCTATTGGGACTATCAAAAATGTTTAATAATGTAACTAGCTTTTGCTTCCTTTTAATTAGACTTGCTTCCTTCCATATCCAGTCTTGTACTTTGCCTATAACCCCTCACAGGTTGAGGCGCTAAATCAACAGAATAATTCTAAAGCAGGTATTTAAAGATTCATAATTTTCCAAAATCTTTTAATATGGCAAAACAAATGGAATGTTCTATAAAGTTTCTGCTCCACAACTGTGCGTCATGCATAAAACTCTTTGCTATCTGCTTTTTAAAACTGCGTCTCAGTGAGTTACTGTCATTCATAAGTCTTTTGGAAAAAGTAAAGAAAAAACAAGGGTAGGGATATGAAACATCATCAAGGGGAGTCTAGCTCTCATCAAACAGTTATTTAGCCATATATAATCATTAAACACGTTCATAGCCATTACAACTGATCTCTATTTGTCTTCTTCTCAAGATCACCTAACACTTTTTGTCTTCTACATTCTAAATGACCTAATACATTGTGTGAAAACTAATCTACATCTAACATGGAATTTAAAGGGGCCCTCAAAGTACCATAAGCTCTAGCGCACATTGTAGAAGTTATGGTGCAACGATTCATTTGTTGTTGTTGTCACCCAGTTTTCTGTTAAGCTGCTTTTGAGTGATCTAACAAATAACTAGAAATGTGGGCATTTCCACGCAGTCAAAGCCTGGCTCCTCATAAAGCTAGAATTTATAATTCATTTTTTTCTGTCCAAGCTTAATGATAGTCTGAGAGTGCTGGGAGCAGTGGAAGAGAGTCAGCTGTAAAAGGGTTGACTTGGGTGCCGGTGACAGAACATTTTCTTTTCGACGGCTTGAAAAAAGTTTAACAAAAAGGCAGAAGATTATTACCAAAGACTTCTTGAAATGTAATGAATTTTACTAGTTATGGTGACTGTCCCCTTAAAGAACTATGACTCTGTTTAAAAAAATAAAAAAATTTAAATCTAGTGACTGCTACTACTGCACTTTGTTCTATCGTCATGAGCTGTACTGTCACTTTATAAATTAAATGAGATACTATTTCTATTCAACATGTAACAGAGGGAGTGGAAGTTGTTGGAATAGGTGTCAGACTATAACGTGAAAAAAAAAAAAGAAACTATTTGCCCTGAATCAATTTAAAAGTAATTCCAAAGGACCACAGAGAATTGACATGATACAGTATTCGAATGGATGAAACATAATGCATTCTGGAGATGCGCAGGTGCTTCATCAAACCATGCAGAAAAGGAGAGTCCTCTATGTGAACCCATCAGGAATGATTCATAATTTAAGCTTCCCATGTGAACTGTCAGATTTCGAAGTGCAAACGCAGATAAATACATTCACAGTCAAGAGAAACACAGCATTACGTTTTTCCATGAACAGATGTGATATGTCATGCAAAGTCTCAGAAGCTTTTTCTTTTCTTAAATTCAAAGCATTTTTACTGCCCATACGTTTTCAGCCATGAATTTTTCAGGAAATATAAACTTGGCCAACCAATACAATGAGTATTTATTTGGCTAAAGGATTAAATTTAACAAAAATTAAAAATGGTTCATTTTGCATAGAGTGACAAGAAAGTTAAGGTCTAAATTATATGAAAATAAAGTAACTCTTCAAAGTGCTCTCACAATCTACATGTCTAAATGTGCATACATTTTTTTATGCGTTTTGAGGCTGACAATGAAAAAGTGAAATTTATATATGGTAAAATCTGAATTTATTGAATGGAAATAAAAATTGGTAAGTCAGGAGGTATGCTATCATCAATTTTTAAACACATTTCATTGTGGGAGCATTTAATCAATTGCTATGGCATAGTAATTGTCATTTCTCAAACCTTTATCCTGCTTTCTCAACTGAAAGGGACACTTCGGTTACCATAACAATTTCATCTAAACTAAGTTGTTATGGTGCCAGGAGGCCTCTGGGCGCACTCTTACCTTAAGGGGTTAAACCATACTTGAATGGCTTAACCTAAAAGGGTGCCTCCAGCCCTGATCTGCAGATCCCCCATGCGGCATCCGGCTTCTGAATCTAAGTTTCAGGAAGTGCGGAGTGGTGCCAGGCAGGTACGTTTCCTTTTAATCGATAGGGAGCTACTGATTGGCTTAGAGCAGCAGATGACCACTCTAAATATTTCAGTAGAGCCTCTGCCCGGTGGAACTCCCTGCTTCCTGAAATTGAGATTCAGAAGCCAGATGCGGCCTTGGGGATCTGCAGATCAGCATTGGATGACGTTGTTATGGTGACTGGACTGTCCCTATAATTAGTAAATCAATTCTCCATTTCAAACTCACATTCCAATTCTGCTACTTTATCACCCTGTCACTTGGCTCCTCTTCTCTATACTGCCTCTCCTATTGTTTTTTAATACCCCTCATCCTCTAGATCGGAAGCTTGTTCGAGCAAGGACCACATCAATTTCCCTCTTTAACACCTTAAGGACCAAACGTCTGGAATAAAAGGGAATCATGACATGTCACACATGTCATGTGTCCTTAAGGGGTTAAAGCGTTGCAAAGCGCTTCGGAATAAGTTACTGCTATATAAATGCTGACAAGAGTAATAATAAATTATTATTTGTTGTTATTATTAGTATTATTTATAACATACATACAGTATTATAAGATCCAAACTAGATTTCGTTGGAATTATTCAACGTAAATATTCACTGGCAATTTCAGTCTTGCTCTGAATTACTCAATTTAAAATTACACATTCCAATGACAAACTGCTGACTAAATATAACTCCAACCTTAGATCTTATGCTAAGTAGCAGCAAAACAAGAAAGATCGTGCTCTATCAAAATGCACCGTTGCTAAGATAAGTCAGCATTATCTTGTCAATCTAAAGATTAGTTGGATCTTTGATATTTATAGCATACTAGACACAAGGACTCTGTAACATTCGACTTTGATATGTCGACATGCCGCATATTAATTGTATTCAGATCTGCTGCTTTGTATCTTGTCTTGCACTTGAACATCTTTACCTGGAATTTGGGTATACAGGGCTGTTTATTGGCAAAAGGAATATGGCCTGAAGTAAAGCCATATTCTTGAAAATATTAATGACCTCATATTGGCCATTAAACTGAGGAAATGCTTTATAATGTTATGGTATGATGAGAGATGAAAGACAATTATACATGCAGCTACGAGTGATTACAATTAAAACACAGCGTCTCCTTGCAACATGTAGCAATAGCTCCCCTAGCGGTAGATACATAAAATGCAGTAAGGTTATTGTAAGAACTATAGATTGTCTCTTTAGATATTTACTTAAAAAGAACTAATCAAAGTATAATTGTATTAAATATGTTGCCTGGTTCTCCCTTGCCACAACCACTCTTACAACTCAAACAAGTGTGTGTAAAGAATGCACTAAATGTTGGAGAATAATGTCATTTATTCTTATAATGATACTAATTCTCCTCCTGTGTTTATATGACCCAACACACTGAGATACCTTGTTTGTAAAATGTATATTAAACAAAAACAAAAAAACTGCCCAGCTATAGCTTCTTTATATCATAGTCCCCGATTCTTACTAAGCCAATACTCTCTGTGGCTGTCCAATCACAGACTTCCCAGTGCATCTTAATGAGAAACCTTTGCAAGGCAGGTGCTCTGAGCAACTGCTGCCTCTCGAGTTTAGCTCCAGTGAGCTAATCAAACAAGGAAGTAGCAGGACCTGTTTGCTGATTGACAGCCAGTAATGTGTAACACGGTTAATTTGTAAATACACCAATTTGTGATTAAATCTGAACTTTTTGTGAAATAAAAAAAGATGACACATCTAAAGTGCTTTAAAGGGACAATCCAGGCACCCAGACCACTTCTGCCCATTGGAGTGGTCTGGGTGCCATCTCCCACCACTCTTAACCCTGCAAGTGTAATTATTGCAGTTTTTTATAAACTACAATAATTACCTTGCAGGGTTAACTCCACCTCTAGTGACTGTCTACTACACAGCCACTAGAGGGCACTTCCTGCATCGTAGCACAGAAAACCTGTGCTAGAGCGTCGCTGGACGTCCTCACGCTGTGTGAGGACCTCCAGAGTCGCTCATTTCCCCATAGGAAAGCATTGAAAAGCATTTTTATTGCTTTCCTATGGGGAGCTCTAATGCGCATGCGCGGCATTGCTGCGCATGCGCATTAGGTCTCCCCGGCAAGTGGGCAGAATCAGTCTCGCCACCAAGCGACATAATCACTGGGAGGAGCGGCGGTGGAGGAAGAGGCAGCGACGTGGGACATGTCGCTGCCTCTGGTAAGTAACTGAAGGGGTTTTCACCGAGGATTGGGGGGGTGGGAGGGAGAGGGGACCTGCAGTGCCAGGAAAACGGATTGTTTTCCTGGCACTGGAGTTTCCCTTTAAGTGTTCCTTTATGTTTCTGTGTATTTTATGTAAAGAACCTGCTTGGAGTTTAACATGTGTCCAAAGTGGTAGCAATTTCATGAGGGAGGCTTTGAGCTATAGTAAAGAGGGCTATATATAGCTTTATAATGCTACTGCTCCGACAAGCAGAAAGATCAATGTACATGTGTGTTTTAAATGGAACATGAAGAAAAACGTAACTTTGCAAAGTCAGCTGTTTTTTTACAGCATTTTGAAGAGAGTTATGCAATATATATAAGATAGTTGTAAGCAAAACTGAGACTATTGCAATTTTAAGTCATTAGATGTCACAGCTCGATATTTTGATGTGAAAAACTCTTACTGTCATGACAGTACACAGAAGCAACAAGCAAATATAGAGTAGTTCTAAGGACAGTACATATTACCGGTCCTTAGAGGTGGCGGGACTTAATGTAAAATAACATAAGAATAGTCAGCGATAAAGCCAAGGTCAAGAGAATATAGAATAGCGACGGTACAAGTAAACAATCTAAGGTCAGGATACAAGAGATCAGAATATTCAAAAAAGTCAAAGTCAAAAACCAGAATACCATACAGAATGCACTGATGGGCTATTACAGACGATGATAGGGTACAGGTCTCTGAAAGCTCTGACTATGTATAGATGATTATGGCATGTGACTAATTAGCTGATATTCCAATAACCAGAATATGACAGGGTGTTGCAAATTATGTAATTTTATGTAATTTGCACCACTGGCGTTGATGCATTAACACTGCGTCATAAAAAACCACAAAGACTCAGCGTCTGGCCTCAGAATCGTTGATAAAGGAACCAGAGGCCCTGAGGCTGACATGGTGCCGAAAATCCGAAGATGGAGCACTGTGCGATCAAGAGAGTGTAAGTATTATGAAACACCAATTTGGGGAAAAAAAAGCTCTGATCCAATAACTTCACATCAATAACTTTTAACAACCTACAAAATAACCTAAAAATGTATGTAGACAATAAGGACTAAAATATGTATAAAAGAAATTCAACATAAGCAGTCCCATGGCAATAATTCCTTGCATTAGGTGAGATTCACATTTGGTTCCATTGATACACCACCACGTCTGTATTAAAGTATTTATGACACACATTCCTGACTTGAAACAGAAATTCTCTTACCACTGATACCGGGACATAAGTTGGCGTGTAGCACCATATACTACAAAATACAAATGCCAACAACTTTTTTTCACAAACCGTAAATTAACCTTCATCAGAGTTTTAGATATTGCATACTTGTATAAGTAAACCAGGAGGGAAGCTGGTACACTTTGCATCTGCAGAGGTTGTTGAAATGAGTCACCCAACAGCTTCAAATGTATTGAACAACTTTTGAATAGAATTTAAGGTCCTCCCTATTTTACACATATGGATTTTTCTGGCAATCAAACATTACATGGTGAAAATTTACCCTACTTTCACTTCTACAGTTAGATGTAGATTTATGAAAGTTGACCTTTGTCTGACTTCCTTCCAGGCTCTCACTAATTAAAGACACCCCTGCTCCTCCAATGGGTATATATGGTAGATTCCCATCATCAGTGAAACAGTTCAATCCCTTTCTGTGCAGCATGTATTGTGGGTGAATACTTTATGGAACCTTGAAAGACTTTGCTCTGAGGACTCCCTTCCAACTCATCATATTTTTGTGCTATATAGGAACCAGCCACAGAGGAGGCCTCATTACCATAGTAAACTAAGGACAAAGCATAGTAGCTCAAGTCCATCACGTGAGACAATTGCAACATGTTTTCATGTTTACTCATAAATCAACTATTTGCACCAAGTTCCCGGCAATCTAATGCAAATGTCTCACTCGGTGTTGAAATATTCTCCATAGGCGTAGGTTTTTACCTGGAATTTCCTAATCTCCTTTATTTTTTTATTCTTCGTTCCCCTCTCACTCCCCTCTGGTTGTTTCTATACACATTTCACTACTGATCATGTTTCTTCATATATTTCTTTTTCCTAAAAAGGAGTTATAGCCCTTCGATTTTTGAGATCCACCTCTAAATTATGACCAGTCGTTTTTTATTTGAACCAATATTTTTACAGACCCAACCGGTAATTCTTTTGTGCGTACTCACTAAAGCCTTGAGGCTTTGTACTCTAAACTTAAATGAATTGTCATGCTTAATTTCAGATTAAGCAACAGACAAACTGGTGTAACTATGACGTATATTTCCCTACCACTCAATCGTCTCGAAAGCCTCCATACAGGTGTTTAGGAGATTCAACCAACTCCAGACTATAAATATGATTTTATACACACACTTCAAGATTGTTCTCTTGCTTTAAATTATCCAACTTTTTAGTAAACCTACTTGCCCAATACACCATGTGTATTACGGCCTAGCTAACAAATACAGCAAAAAAAAAAAAAAAAAAACATTAAAAGAAAAAAATAACGGAACTTACTGAAATAGAAGCCCCGGTCTCCACATACGAACTGTAGAGCATCCACTAACTCAGCTCCGCAAAGAGTCTCTGGACCAGCAGCTACAGAATGGCTTAAGGTAAGTAGACACAGAGCCAGGTAGAAGAGTTGAATGTAGGACATTGTGTGAATCTTAACCTGCCAAAGAAAACAGATAAAGTATAATTTTATCAATCTTCTCAAATCAGTTTCTCAGTACAAATTCTAAAACCGCAGAGACTGGTTAGCGATAAGGCACACTTTTTCTCAGGGCACACATACTTTATACTTGCATGTCACATTTGATTTGAACATAAATCAACTCAATTTAATTGGCTTAATTTTTGTACAAATTAATTATGTCTGTTTATTTATTTTAAAAGATACCAGCACGTTCTACAGATGCACTGAGCTGACGGATAAAGGAGAATCATTCATATGTCATTTAGACAGAGGGATAAAATTGCCGCTAGAACAAAATACAAATAATTATGACAACCATTAGCATTAGGCAATGTGACTAGTTAAAAAAAAAGTCAACTATAAAAGTAGTGTGGATTTTGAATTCAATTTATAGCAGTCAACATACAAACCAATTAGCATACATTGTACATGTATACAGTTTAACACAACTAAGTCAATGGCACTATTTATACGGTATAGAGTAAGCCATTTTTTGATTATAATAAATATCCATTTAGATTTCTTAATAAATAATGTCAATCAATAAAATTTCAAGGCAATAAAGCTCTTTATTTCAACTGCGCCATTTTAGTCTAAATGTTACAAGATGGTTCTCAGATCACTAGAACTTACTTTTCAATGAGTTTACCTCAATAATGTTTTGGTGAGAATGATTCTTTTGGGTTTATCCCCCCTGAATGATAGCGGATTTACGTCCAAATGGTAAAATTCAGACTAAAATATCGAAGCTGCGTTAAATAACGTTTCCAGATCTGATATTGTCGGCTAAACATTAACATTCAGATTCAATTTGCTAATATTCAGAGTCTTTTGAATAAACCCGTTTGTGTATACAACCCTGTCCTGTAGTACTTTTGCGTGTTTTACTGTAGCACTTCTTAGTAAACCCCCATTATTTGCACTAAAAAGATTAACCGTCTTCAAATAAATTTGCAGAATTAGAAAGATATTTCCCACTTCACATCATCTAATATGGATCAGGAAATTAACCAAACATGGTACACTGGCAACTGTATGCAGGATGGAACAGTATATGTTTGTCACTGACATACATTACTAATAAGACGTTCCAATTACATGTTTTATGAACTGGGCCTAAAGTGTATACAAGTGTCTGATCCAATAGCTTAAACACATTTCTAGTAGAAGAAAAGTTAAAATCGCATCAGCCTTCAAGAAAAAAAAAAAAAAATCCTTTACTTTTTTTTCTGCTCAGAAAGGAAACTTGAAACATCTCCAAAAACTAGAAGAAAGGTCATATAAATCATTCTTAAAATGTTTTCAATTAAAAAAGATTAAAAAAAAAAAAAGTAAATTAAAACCCTTTGGCGGATGTTACATAATACTTTAACCCTTGAAAACGTGAAATGCACAGATTGTTAAATCTAGCATTAATGTTATAGAAGTGATGCTGGTTTAATGACCTGATGTAGTGGTATGTAGCATTACATATTTGAATTTTCTATCCATTGAGGAAATGTAAATGATCCGATTTGAGCAATTTATTGATGAATGCTGTAGCATACCAATATTTCACTGAAAATATGCTTTGCTTTATCTTATTATAAGTTTATTATTTTTCACACTTTGGGGCTTGTTTGTTTATTTACTCAACTTGCCTTGTTGCACTTTCATAACTAACTTGCAATATTAAAGTTAATTTCAGTTTTTTTTTTAACTTTTATATATTGGCCTTAAGTTTACAAGTTTCTACTTAATTCATCATAAATCACTGTTTAGTGAATAGACCCCACAAACACAATGAATTCAGGCCATTTGTTGCAAAAGTCCCCTTATATAAATAAAGTTTGAAATCAAACTCATAAAGTATGTAGATTCTAGTAATTCATAGAAAATCATGATCTAGCATTATCTATCTCTTTACTTTTACAATCAAGGTGTGCACATTGTTAGTATATTGACAGGTGTATTAACACAACTGCAGTACAATCAATGACTGAATAAAATAGCTCAGTATGTCATTGGCTATCAGCTCCTGTTACTGCATAATATACATGTATGTTGTCATAACATAAAGTAATCACATATGCAAAATATCCTAATAAGTTTAAAGTAGATAGCTATATGCAGTATTTGCTAACATTCACATTTTATAGAATTGAGAAATACCACAAAAAAAAAATGTGCAGACTTCACTAACAAACTGCACAATCAGCATTTTTCTAACTGTCAGATCCAAAGCTATTTGACAGCTGGAGTGAACACAACACAAAAAAAAAAGACAAAACAGACAAAACAAGCATAAAATTATTTAAAAATTAAGTAAAACAGTAGAACATAGATTAAACAAGAAAGGGAGTTACCTTTAAGACATCACAAAAGTAGCACTTAAATATTTGTGTTGAAAGACTGTTGTTGTTATTTTCCATTGCTTCTTATAAGTGCAGGGTCTGAAAATGAAAGTGTTAGCTGTGATAACGAGAAATAAAAAATAATATGAATACTTCCAGGCAGATTGTTCAGAGCAGTACATTTCAATAAAGTGGACTTTGTTCCATTTGGGTAGGCGCTATCTGCTCTGATTTTAAGAGTGAGTGACAGATTTAGCAAACAGGAGAGAGATTTACAGAAAATCCTCACATTTATCTACATTTACACAGACACTGTAGACAGGAAGCAGCTGGGAGAATTATTTGCTTTTTTTTTCTCTCTCTCTCTCTCTCTCTCTCTCCCTCTTCTGGCAAAGTTTTCAAAAAATAGGACTTTTTGGGCTGAGTGACAAATAACATCATACCTTAGCATTTCAGGACTGGATCACTGAAGGATATTTATTTCTCTTTAAAAGAATGCATTATAGTGACATAGTAAAATAAAAAATAAAATTAATCCAGCTATTTCTTTTTTTTTTCATTGACCAGCTTGCACACAGTCATCTATCCCCATTCTTGCTTTATGAAGAGTGCCTGATGTTGAGAACCTGATTAAGATTAATGCAAAGGGAGTGACGTAACCCACTTTACAAGCAGAGCAGTGATGTAATCTGAGGAGGGGGGTGGGGCAAAGAAAGTGTATTTTTCATTTTTATATATATATATTTTATTATTATTATTTTTTCTTTTGCAGAGAGCTAAATATCATGGGGTTTGTTCACTAAATATTGAATTGCAGTGAGTTAAAAATAAAATGTTTTAAAATGTAGGCAGAAACAGTTATCCACATTTTTTTCACCTTCAGTTTTTTCACCTTCATTTTGCTATTCAGATATCAATTCACTACAATTCATTGTTTAGCGAACAAACCCCATTTGTATTTGTGATTATGGAGTTTATTCTCTACTCAGACCAGATAGACACCCCAGATGTTATAGAACTACAACTGCCATAATGCTTTGCATGCCTTTGTATTGTATTGAAATACAAGCTTGCAGAGCTGAAAACAGAGAGCTAGTCTCTGTATTCAGGCTTGCAGTGCCAGTGTCGCAGCTCCCTGTGCCATTGCGTTGTGAGCTCTCTGGCTGTAAATTTTCAATAAACAAATTTAATTAGCAATTATGCTAATCATTTATACACGACTACGGAGTATGGTTACATAGCCTTGCAGTCGTGTATAGATAAGTGCCGTTGTGTGTATTTCTGAGTGTATCTACCTGTGTGTGACAGGGTTTGGGGCATTGGCGTGCACACGGGGTGTGCAGGGTGTGTCTGGGCACACCTTAATCCCCTCGGCACGCGCTATGTGCCTCCCTCCATGGGCCGGTGAGGGAGATCAGAGATCTCCCTCACCGACCCACAGCAGCATGGAGGGAGGCAGGAGAGGACCTGGGGAGCTCTTGCCAGCAGCTCCGTCAGGGTTCCTCTCGCGAGGTCGGAGCGATGCCGCGGTTACCTCGGCAACGCTCAGATCTTCCAAGAGTGAACTCTAGCCGCCTGTGGAGCTAGAGTTCACTCACCACTGGATCACCAGGGATGGCAGCAGCACGGTCCCCCCTCCCTATAAAAGGTAAGAAGGGAGGGGGGATATTAGCTAAACGCCCCCCCCCCACCCCACACATTACACAAACAGCACATACACACATACATCACCCTTACACACACAGCACCCACACACACACACTAACAGCACCCTCACACTAACAGCACCCTTACACATACACACACAGCACACACTAACAGCACCCTTACACACACACAGCCTCTTCACACACACACACACACACTAATAGCAGCCTTGCACACACACACTAACAGCACCCTTACACACCTTACATATACACACACATACACACTAACATCACCCACACACATACAGCACCCTTACACACACAGTGCCCTCACACACACAGCGCCCTTACACACAGCGCTTGCACACACACACAGCTCCTACACACACACACACACACAGCACCCTCACACACAGCGCCTGCACACACACAGCGCCTGCACACATACACAGCACCTGCACACACACACAGCGCCTTCACACACACACAGCACCTACACACAGCACCCTCACACACACACAGCGCCTACACACACACACAGCAGTATATGTGTGTGTGTGTGTATGTATATGTATATGGCTGAAAGTGTTTGGGAATTGTGATAGTGACACACAGCGCCCTTACACACACAGCGCTCTCACACACACACACAGCACCTTCACACACACACAGCGCCCACACACACACACAGCGCACTCACACACACAGCGCACTCACACACACACAGCGCCTGCACACACACACACAGCACCTACACACAGCACCCTCACACACACACACAGCAGTATATGTGTGTGTGTGTGTATGTATATGTGTGTGTATATATATATATATATATATATATATATATATATATACGCGGAGTGTGTGTTTGTGCTTTAGTGTGCACACCCTTATACAATAGGCTGCGCACGCCTATGGTTTGGGGTGAGTGTTGCACAGTTGGAAGGCAGGATTGGAAGGCTTTATGTGGTAGATTGAGTGTGGCAGGTTGAAGGGTGTGAGGGGATCAGACTGATAGAGGATGAGTGTGGCGAGGTTGGGGTTGAGTGTGACAGTGCAAGAGAAGGTGAGTCTGACAGGATTGGGGTTAATGTGATAGGGTAAGTGTGGCAAAGCAACGGCAGGTGAGTTTGGTATAGTTGGAGTGGGTGAGAGTGATAGGATTAGGAGGGCTGTGACAAGGTAGGGGGGCTGTGAGCGGGTAAGGGGGCTGTGACAGGGTAGGGGGATGTGACATGTAGTAGAGTGTCTATGCAAGGTAGAGGCACTGATGGGGGCTCTGAGAGGGTAAGGGGGCTGTGATATGGTGGGGGTGTGGCTGTGACAAGGTAAGGGTAATGGGGGAGCTGTGACAGGGTAGGGGAGGATGTGACAGAGTAGTGGGGGCTGTGACAGGATAGGGGGAGCTGTAACAGGGTAGGGGGATGTGAAAGGGGAGTGGGAGTAGGAGGGCTGTGACAGGTTAGGGGGCTGTGGGGGGCTGTGACAGGGTGGGGGGGGGGACGTGACAGGATAGGGGTAGTGGGGAGCTGTGACAGGGTGGAGTGGGTGGAGGGGCTGTGATAGGGTAGGAGGAAGTGTGGGGAGCTATGACAGGGTAGGGGGGGAGCTGTGACAGGGAAGAGGGGGTAGAGTGTCTGTGGCATGGAAGAAGGTGATGGGGGGCTGTGACAGGGTAGGGGGTGGTTAGGGCTGTGACAGGGTAGAGGGTGGTGGGGGGCTGTGACAGGATATACAGGGGCTTCATAAATACTTTTTTTTAGTAAATTGATTCCCTGGTGGTCCGGCGGGCTCCCTATCTGGTTTGCAGCTCCACCGGGAGTCTTGCAAACTCCAGTCAGAGCGTTGCCGCGGCAACGCTTTGGTTTGCTGGAGATCGCGAGACACCTCAGTCTGCAGCTCTGCACCCAGCGGAGCTGCAGACAGGAACCGGGCTCTCTCCCCCAGGGCAGACTGAGCGGAGGGGCTTCTCTCCCAGTGGCATATTAGGCAAGCTGCCTGGCCCCCTCCTGTGTCAGTCCCTCGGCCATAGACCGAAGACCCAACATGTCAGTCTGCCTAAGGCTATTTAGGCAGCCACGAGGCCCCAGACCGTGCGAGGTCTTAGGCGGCTGCCTAAATCGCCTAATTAGAGAGCCGCCTTTAGACAAGGCATCATGGAAGTTGTCGTTATCAAACATCTGGGGATCTACCTTTTGGGCACCCCTACTTCTAAGCACACAAAATCATTCCAAATTCAAATTGGAAAACTGAGGCAAATTTAACTGCCTATAGATAAGCTGGAAATGCTCTCAAATCAACAATTGTTGCCTCCATTTTGCATTTACTATTCAATATATTATGAGTTTATTTACTAAATTGTAAATTAAAACCTGAAATGCAAAATTTAGACAAAAATAGCTGATTTGCATTTAGCAATTTGGTTTCCAACTAACTCCCGTTAGATATTTAGTAAATAAACTTTCCATCATTGTATAAATAAGACATTTTTAAAGCAATACAAATTGAACTGCTTATATTATACTTGCTCCCATCAGCTTTATTCTAAGAAAGTACAAATGTCTGACAAGAGAACTGTTTTTTGTTGTTGTTGTTTTTAAACCCAAATATGCATTGCATAAATAACACCATCTGGCTTAGTTGCACGCTCTTAGTCTCACTGCCTATGATGTCATCAAAATGCCCTATCTGAGTTAATGGCATAAAATATCTTGTCAGCTGTTTTTCCTTTCTATTTATATTGTGCACTAAAACTGCTTTTCAATCTATAACCGGTTATATAACTTTATTGCTATATTGTGGGAATTCTCCTTAAGTGACTAAATTCTTAGAGAACAAATGGTAAACTTTTAAAGGGGTAGATTCACTAAACTGTGAATCTGTGACTGCGAATTAAAACACAAATTGCCACATTTAGGCAAAACATAATAGCTGATTTGGCAAAAATTATCCAATTCAGTTATCGTCACAGCTTGGTTATTTAAACTGAATAAACCATTCAGTTTTCAGTTTGCTACACGTTTCGTGAAAGACCCCAAAGTCTATTGGCGGCAAAGTCTACATGTATGACAATGTTGCATCCTGGTTTTGCAAAGGAAATTGTTAAAGGTAAAATATGCAAAAACAAAACAACCCATAAACTAGTTTCTCCTATGTTGCAGTTAGAGCAGGCTACCCTTCAAATACTCTGTCTCGTAACTTTTAGGACTGTTCTAGACTGTGGTTTGTGTTACCCAGGTTTCTCCTGTGATGGCTAGTCTGCTGAAGCCCTGAATTCCTGTTTTTGGATTATTGAACAGTTGTCCCTTATTAGTGTAGATGCTGGTAATAGTGTCACCACTAGATAACAGCAGGCCTTATAAACCAGGAGGCTGTTTTATTCAAAAACAGATCAATAGCATGCGTTATTGTGGAATGATGATAATCTTGAAGACAGCTATGATAGATCGGGGTTATAGCTATGGCCTGGTGGTAAAGAACTGGACTGCCTGTTCTGTAGATGAAGCTGCAACACTCTGGGTCAGCGGTTCCCAAAGTGTGTGTCGCAACCCCCTGGTGGGTCGCAGGGCAATTCCCAGTGGGTCGCTCTGACCCACACATCCAGGGCCGCCGGCTAGTCAGGCAGACTGAGTAGTCGGGCTCTCGGTCCGTGACCGCGGGCCCGACACCAGGAGGGGGCCAGACGGCTTGCCCTGTATGCCGCCAGGCACCCTCCAATCAATCTGCCCAGCACCTCCGGTATGCAGCTCCGCCGGGTGCAGAGCTGCAGACCGTGTGATAAAAGTCTCGCGAGCTCCCAGAGCTTCACCATGGCAACACTCTGGGAGCTCGCGAGACTTTTATTACACGGTCTGCAGCTCTGCACCCGGCGGAGCTCAGACCGGAGACCCACCGGACCACCAGGGAGGACACTGGACCACCAGGGAT